ATAGCAGTTCAAACAACGTTAGTTAGTCGGCAATCTTACTCACCTCGCGAAAGCATTTAACGTCTTGATCAGTTGGCATTTCTTCGCGTCTCACCATGGGAAGGGCGTGGTGGATGGTTTAGGAGCCACCGTCAAGCGACTCGTCCATCAGCAAATACTCGCAATGTTCCTGGCGTTCAGAAGATTCATTCAAACGACACGATGGACGTCGATGTTATTCAGTATCGAAGCTATTCGACGAGCAAAGAGAAAACCATCTTTCGATTTTAACGAACGCAATCCACTATCACCTGCTTGTGAAATCGTTCAGACATTATTTTCATTTTATGTATATCTATTGACTAGTATCTAGTGATTTTTGACGATTTTCTCTTTCTCTGCGTTTGTGTCAATTTTTCATTGTACATGTAGAAAACATGGAGCTAAAGACTTAGTGCGAAGATCTTATGTTTCATCAGTAGCAAAGATAAATCTGTAATGAATGTTGTTGACAACAAGGTCACCCATAAAAGAATCGAAAAAAAGTGTCCGTGAGTCACAAAATGAGTCCATGCGTCACGATGGCTTTTCTCCTCTCATTTTCGTATACTAGCGGGAAGCTGAAAGTTAAGCGTGCCATGCAGGAGCTTACGCCTTGCCCTAAAAAATGTCTAACACGTAATTTCTCTATCACTCTTTACTTCAGAGAACTGACTGAAGATCTGGTCGTGTTGTCCAATGACTTCCATTTTTTGTCCGTGCGCAACAGGACCTAATGTGACATGAGCTGGTTGAACGAACTTGCCGAAAGAAGTTACGTATTTTATGGGATATAGAACTCAGTTAGTACTATCTGTGGCAGAGATCTTAGTCCCTCGCACATGTGTAGAAATGAAGTAGGACGCAAGTGTTTGTAAAAAAATGTCCATGCGTCACGTTTGGCCAGGCCCATATGATGTTAAAATATAATTAAGTTGCTTCCGCGTTTCGAGTTACACATTTAACTTTTAAAACCAATATAATTTTTCTCTCTTATAAGTCCAACAAATCCGATGAATCACGAAATTTTAAAAAGAAGATTGAAATGAGCTACGCTATTCATAGAAAATACTGGTCTTTATCGTTACAGAATGAAAGAAGTTAGATTTCATAGTAAAAATGCTCATAAAAATGACAGTAAACTGTCCTTCATGGAAATTGGCAAAAAGCATGAAATTTCGTAAGACATAGTCTTTTGAGTCGTCTTATTCGAAAGGATTATTCCATCGCGAAAACGACATCATATATTGAAAAAATGTTTTTAGAAAAAAAATGAAACGTTTCCAAATATTTGACTTACACGTGGTTCTACTCAGTTTTTCACGCTGAATCCGAATCTGACACCCGTCTTGGTATAAGAATGATTTTTTATGCTGAGATATGCTCAATAAGAGTGAAAAGAGCGCCAAAATAGTGGCTCCTACCAAATTCTGGTTAAAAATTTTCAATGTGACCATATTTGTTTTTCAAAACAAACATACGGAAAATGTAGGTTTTTTTCGCCGTCTTTTGAACGTACTATACGAGAATTTTGGTATCTTCAATTTTTTCTAATCGAATATCGCTTGAAAGGCCAGAGAGAACTAAAATATGGCGAATTTTGTCATAGTGTTGCTCACCCTGTTGAAGTTTCTTCTTAAAAAAAGTTAATATTGAATTTATGATTTGCACATAGGATTGAAGTCCTTCTCAACAACGATCAAAAGAACCGATTAGAGGTTTTATCCGCCCTCATCGTTTGTAAATAATTTCGTTTTATGTTTTGTATTTTATACATTTTTCTTATGAGAATGATCTAAAAATTGGTTTTTAGAAGTTGTCTCACAAAAGACAAACTTATAGCCTTCCATTTTAATTACTTTTTTCTTTCATTCTCCTACTTCCTCTGCCGTGTTAATTCTGTCACGCCTTGTAACGAAATACACCCATGTTTACGTCAACGATTTTTCTTTACTGATTTGATAATGATAATGACAGGTTAATTACGAGCTGAGGCAAAAGCAAGTAGTTTTCAACGCACGTTCTAAATAGATGATGATAGGTAAAAATGAAAAAGTGCATCAATAAAAAGTCTTCTCTTTAAAGTATATTAAAGTCGAGAAAGTGAAGAAAATAACATTGATAATATTTATGGAGTTTGTCAACCAATGTATTCCACCATTGGATTTTAATATTCCAGAAGTAAGAACGAAGTGGAACGTCTACTAATTGTATTTTCTTTTTTTGGATTTTAGTATTCAGATTTAACTCCAATTTCACTCCGAACACCCCTATTCTCAAATATTAAGTAAAAATATTATCAGATTTCTAAACAGATAAAAGTAGTTTCAATGTGTTTTTTCTTCTCGTTTATAGATTCAAATTTCCAAGAAGAACTAAAACAGTACTTAATCCTTTGATATTAATAGTGATACTATGTTTCATTATAACTATCTTCTTGACAATTTTTTTTAGATACAAAACGAATCATAGTAATTGCTATAATGATCCGTTAAATCATTTTGTGAATACTTTTTTTTGATAGATATTCAAACATCATCAGGTAAAGCCAATGAACAAGTCAAACAATATGATATCCTTTGGTCGTTTGAAAATACTGTCAATGACATAAACAATTTGTACCCCGGTTTTCTAATGAATAATCCCTTCTATATTGATGGATATGTTGGTAAAGGATTATGTTTCAACGGTGTTAATCAATATGTTGATACAACAGCACCTATTGACTTTTTAAATCGTAGTTTTACTGTTGAAGTTTGGGTCTATTGGATCGATCTTTATAATTATACATTTAATGGAATTTTCGGTCAATGCTCATGCGATAATACTTGTATTAGTAGATGTTTGCATTTATTGATACGAGATAAATATGCTTACTTGGGATTTTATGAAAATGATCTAAAAGGGCATACAATTATCGAAAACAGTACTTGGACTCATATCACATATGTATATGATTATAGTCAGTACGGACAACAGGAAGTCTATGTAAATGGTTTATTGGATGGAAGACGAACAGGGAAAGCGTATCAAGGTGTAACAAGTAATAGTGTAATTGGAAAATCATTTGTCAGTGCTGGTGTGGATTCTGGCCAATATTTTACTGGCATAATAGATCAACTCTCAGTCACATTCGGAATAAAAACAGCTAAACAAATATTAGATGATGCTACATTATGTGCATATTATAGTTTCGATCAAGGTTCTCTTGCAGATTTTGGTCCTAATGGTTTGAATGGAACAGCTATGAATACCGTGAGTATCAAAGGTCATGTTAATCAGGCTTTGAAATTCTCAATGTCAACATCATACTTCCAAGCAGCTGGTTTTACAGCATTAGCTACTTCAAATAAAGCTTTTTCAATTGCATTTTGGATAAATCCTCTTCAGATTGACAAGGGAACCATATTATTTGTATCGAATACTGATGATTCCTGGTGTTTACCATTTATTGGATTTACTAGCAACGGTACACTTGTTGCACAGATAAAATCAGATCAAAATACAATTATTTCAACTATGGGACCTACATTGGAGAAAAATATATGGACACATATTGCGATAACTTACAGTAGATTCAACGGTCAACGAATCTACATCAATGGTTTTCTGCATTCATCTAGTCCTAAGAACATTTCGTATAGTGCTAGTGAACAATCTAATTATATCACTGTTGGTACGTCTTTAGCTTTTCATTCACAATGTAATCAAAGCAAAATTCAATCAGGACAATTTTATGGTTCTATTGATGAACTAAGAATCTACAGTCGTGAACTTATCGGAACTGACATACGCACTTTCATTAATATATAAATATAACAAATATTTTTCATTTATTTCTTATTAAATATAAAAAGAACTTTCCAAAATCAACCATCGATAACTAAATGTTACTATAAAATAGCAAGTTCATTGGTAATTGAAGTATTGACACTGACTGGGCAACAGTCTTCAATTCCTCGAATTGTACAACAAGTTGTATTTAAAGGACAACAATTATACTTTCCACAGCATACTGGTGTCTTTATCCGACAACACCAGCCTTGATCTGGTGAACAACAGATTGGAGTATTTTGTTCACAACAATGCATTTTTGTCGCCAGCTTATTATTAGGACAACACGTTCTACTATTAGGACAGTTACTAGCAGAGCATTGTGCATAAATAGATACGATTGGCACTATAAAACAGCGAAAAAAGGAAAAACAAATTAAGTTGAAATAATAAAAAGATTTATACATCTTTTACTCTGAATTGTGGTAGTAGAAACTGTTGTTCTAACTTCTACTTCTTTCGTTGTTGTTTGTTTTTGTTGATTAAAATATTTTGATATTATTAAGTGAGAAAGAATTATAATTATGAATAATAATATGCCTCCAAAAATAGCAAATATGAAATATATTTTCCTACGGTGATTTAACGATCGTTCTACTATTAAAGGAAACTGAGAATAACGTACTGGTGGTCCCAAAAGACTGAAATCCATCGATCAGGTTTGTATCAAAGAAACAAATTAAATGTAATGAATAGAGAAAAACTTCTCTTTCATGCGTATAAAAAACTTAATTATGTTTATGAAAAAAGTACACGTCTATAAAGGCGTAAATACATTTTTTTTACTGTCTATATAGTTTTTATGCTTCATTTATTTTAATGTAAGTACCACACATCGTGATTCTTACTTGAAAAGTACGTACGTGTTGACTGAAGAAAACTTAAGCAAGTTTATAGGCATAAAAAATAACTTTTTTTGTAATACAACAGTATTACTTCTCAAAAACAAATTTCTTAATAGATTAATTTAGAGTTGCAACTAAGAATTTAATTTTAGTCTAATAAGCCAGAGAAACATTTCGGAATATTGCTTCTATTATATTGTTTTTTTTGTTTAGACTATTAAATTATCTGAAATCTTTAATCATTTTAACATGGGTCAAGTACAATCTATTCTAGGAGCAACTAACTTAAGAAAAACTTACAGTCCAATTCCAACACATGATACATTTGAAAACGAAAGAGATATTGTAAATCCAAGTCCGCCACAACAACACCAACAACAACAACAACGTCGCTTTCATCATTTACCTGAAGATAATGTCAGTCAACATTACTTACTTTGCTGGTTGGACGAACATTCGAACGACCTTTCATTAGACACTGAATGTACAAAAGTTATGCTTAGCAAATTTTATCGTGAATGTTGGAAATTCTATACCCAGGCTAACGAATTTCTTACTGATATTCAAGGTAGAACACATGAAATTGATAAAATCCTATTGGTAGTTTCCGGTGCATTGGCTGAAGAGGTATTGCCCCAAGTTAAGAACATCGTTCCTGTTGTTATTATATTTTGTTCTAACTACAGTAAATATATCACATTGAAGTCAAAAACATATCGCAATGTCGTAGACGTGTGTACAGATCATGATACACTAAAATATTTTATTCAACGTGAATTACCATCGTTAAAACTTTGTCTAAATGATAATACACCGTTAAAATCGATGAGATGCTTAGTGTCAACAACTTCATCTGATTCAAAAATTATTTTAATGAATAATAATCGTACTAGCAGTGAGATTACCATTGGAAATGAAACATGTTTTTCCTATATTATCATAATTGATTTGTTAAAAAAAATGCCACAAACAGATGAAGGAAAAAATATATGGTTAAATAAATGTCGCGAATATTATCGTGGAAATGAGGGTGAGTTAAAGAACATTGCCAAATTTAGTGAAGTATATCAAGCATGTGATGCAATTCATTGGTATACAAAACAGTCGTTTGTTTTTAAGCTTGTTAATCAGGCACTTCGTACAGAGGATATTACTTTATGGTATTTATTTCGGTATTATTTAGTTGATTTATGCAAACAATTAGAAATTGTTCATCAAGATCAAAATTACCCAACTAATTTAACTTTATATCGTGGACAATCGATGTCTAGAGAAGAGTTTGAATCAATTAGCATTGATGGTTTATTTCTTACAACTGCATTTTTTTCAACATCAACGAATATTTCTATAGCAAAAGGCTTTATCGGTGGCACACAATATTATAGCAATGAACGTATTCCAGTTCTATTTGAGATTGCTGTCGAATCAGTCAATGTTAAAACAGTAGTATTTGTTGACATTGATCAACATTTGGCTGATAAATATAATGAATGTGCATCTGAAAATGAAATTTTATTTGCTGTTGGTTCGATATTTCGAGTTACAGCTGTCGGAGCAGATATAGAAGACTCTCGCTTACAGAAAATATATATGAAAGCCACAGATGATGGAGCAGATATAGTACAACATCAGTTGGATTTAATTAAAAAAAAATATCCAAATATTGGGGTTAATTTACTTTTTGGTCGATATCTTCTAGATATGAATCATTTATCTAAAGCTAAATCATACTTTCAAATGTTATTATATGAATTGAAGAGTTTAAATAATGAACAACATTATTATGCAGATTTAGCATTTATTAATAATTCTCTTGGTGAATTATGCATTCGTACAACAAATTATAAAGAAGCTTATGAATATTTCAAAGAAGATTATACAATTCGATCAAGAAATAAATTTTCAACTGATCTCTTTATATCAAATATTTCTTTTGGGAATTATTATAAAGCCATTGGCAATTCTCTTCAAGCAGAAGAAGAATATATGAAAGCATTATCTATAATGAAGAAAAATACTGAAAGAAATAAAATAAATATAAGAAGACTAAATATTTACATTGCAAGTATTTATGCGATTCGTAGAGAGTTTTATAAATCATTAACATTATGTTTCGAAACAGTGAATTTACTTACGAAAACATCGTCAACATATCCTTCTTATTTTGAAATGATTATTTGTCAAGGATTAATTGGTGATATTTATTTTATGCAACAAATTTATAAAAAAGCTGAACACTATTATCTTAATGCATTTAATCTGTGCAACCAATATCTCTATATTGGCCATAGACAACTAATACATTGTATCTGTTCATTAACTGAACTATATTATAAACAGTTCAACGATAATGGTCATTATGCGTTTAATTTTTGTAAAAACCAGTTAGAGTTACATCAAACGCATCTATCAAAGAATCATCTCAGTATTGCGTATCTTTTGATTAAATTAGGTCAGATTTCTCAAGATATCAGTTGTTACCAAAGGGCAATAGATATCCTGACGCATATTGATTATCTTGAATATTTAACAATAGCACAATGTTATCAATATATTGCTGATTACTATGCAAAGAATGGAGTCGATCAAAATATCGACAGAGCTGAGGAAAGCTATTCCAAAGCAAAAGAAATCTATAAAAAGATATATCCTGAAGATCATGATCTTATTCATAGAATGCAAGATCTAATTGATTCCATTAGGAATTGATTTATCCATCATAATAGTTTTTCTTCAAGACATCGGCACGACCAAGCGTTACGGAATTACATTTTTTAAACTTCTGAGACCCATATCTTGTGAACAGTAAAACGAATCTTAGTGAAACTTCTAGTGTATATGAAGCTCAACTAGTTCTATAAAAATGCAAAGTTTCATTCAGTTATCTCTAACCATAATGGAGTTATTTAAAAAACATGCTCCGTTACGGAATTTCAAAAAATGGACAAACACTTCGCAGGTCACTCATTTTTCAACGAAACTAAACTAGCTACAAATAAACGCTTTATATAAAAGTTGTTCAGTTTTTCGCCAGCTATCAGAATATCAGGTCGTTTTTGTGGTATAAGTTTGCCTTTGAACAGGGCCACTTAAAAGATTGACCGTTACGGAATTTCACCTTTTTTGCTGTTTCAACTCAGAAGGTTTGATCAACTGAAGTTTTGAGGCCCCCCCCCTGCCACACAGAAAATCGATTTTTCGACCCAAAACACGACTTTTTGATTTTCGTCTAGTCTTGTAGAGTGAAGAATGCTCTTTCAGAATATGTATAGTTTTGATGGAAAATATCACTGTTTGGCGGTTTTATAACGGTTTTTCTGGAAGCACCAATAGAAAAAATGAACTTTCCAGCAATTTTTAGCTGTTTTTTCTTAGTTACCATGGTCGAATCAGTTTGAAAAAATCAGAGCTACACATGCTCGATATCCTCATTATTATAGATGATCATTACGCTAGTAGTAGGTCTTTAAAGGATTTCTATAGGGTTTTTTAATGGATTTTCACTCTTTTTTATCAGTGTGTGATCAGAATATATTCGGATTTGATCTTGTCGAAACATTCTAGTTTATATTTTGACATAGACTGATTTCATTTGTGTACATTTGAGGGACAGAAGATCATATCGTTAATCTATAAAAATGAAATAATAATTGATTTGAAAATTGTGCTTTTATTTTGCTCTATTCATTCGACTTTTATTGAAATAAATCAACAAACGATGCATCAGTGAAAACTACATTGGGCTCTCTGTAGTTCTCATAGTTTTTTATACCAGAAGGGTATCGACAACGAATCACTTGAAGTATCAAGGGCGGCCATTGATAGTTGGCGTACTTGTTTGTGGTTTCTCCTTTTTCAAGCCGAATCCCGTGGACGAATCGATACAGTTCCTTATAGACTTGACGCCTTACAAACTCGTTATTTAGATTTAGACCTAACTCTTCTCTGCGCATATTAATTTATCGCTCGAAACTCGCGCCAACGACCATAAGGAAAGAAAAGGCAAAACCCATTGTAGAGTTCAATTAGTCCAATGAAAAAACTTTCTGTTGAGATAACCTATTGGTAATTTATATAAGTTTAGCATAAATATGTATCATATCGTATCGAAATGCTCTTTTAGAATATGAAAAGACACATTGATTCTTTCCGTCTGATAGATGTCGTCTATGAAAGAAATGAAAATCTTTGAACTATATTTTTTCTGCACATCATTTGACGGCGTGCGAAGATCACGTTATCAAGAGCTATTAAATAGAATAAATATGTTGAAAAAAGTCATGTTGCTTATCTTTCTCATATAGAAATGAATTTAGTTTGGAAGAAAATAGTGTATCAGTAACAGTACCGAACAACGATGTTGCAAGGCTGATGTACTATCTGAATTGTGTGTGTACAGCTATCGACTGTAATCGCGATCCAGACATTCAACGCTTCACGAATTACAGAAACTGGTACTCTTTGTCGATCAGTGAACAAAAGGAACATCTCGTGGTGTGCTACACATTTAGTCCCGACGTCTTCGATGACCGTGTTTTCTTCCATAGTGATGAGTTATGCCGAGGTAGCAGTAATAAATTTTACAAAGTAAATCAAGTTCGTCAGTAGCTGATAGCTGCCGAATCGATTGTCATCGCCGGGCACGTTCGTGAAGTGCATGAAATCATGACTTATACAATGAGTTGGATGAAGACGTTCTACATTGATCCTATGCAACGACTTGCACACTCTCTCAGTAATCCACGTCCCGCGATTACGGGATCAATGTATATACACCGCGTGTTGTACATCAGCCGATAAGTAGTACCAGCTCCAGCAAGTGCAACGGTACTTGTGTCTGTGTTGTGCTTTGCTGTCTTCTATGCGTGATTCCCGAAATTATTGGAGCGATTATCGGTATTATTAATGCTGCTAACTCATAGCTTCGACATGAAAGAGCTTCAAACGCTCCAGTGACTTTTGGAGATGGATGACGATGTAAAAGTATCATAATCACATTCTTCTTTTTCCACGACAGAGAAAATTTCGTAAACATGTCATTTTTATATTTTGTTCGAACCCAAGTGTGAAATAAATGTAATTACCGTATCAACAATGACGGTAACATGACTAACGGGGAAGTCAGAAGTCTGTTTACAGATGAGAAGTGAACCTTTTTTCGGTGGTTTTGGTGAACCATTTGAATATCTTTTCAACGGGAAAAGTTTACCGTCGATGACTCGTTCGACATAACTCAATTGATCCCACATTTGAGCTGCCATAGAAGCATCTTTAAAAATGCAACCTTTTCGAATGAACAACCATCGACGAGCATATTCAATACATTGCCATTTCGTGCCTGTCTTGACACCGTAAAGATAATTATCCACATACGAATAGTATGAATTGTTACCATTTGACTAGGTTGGTACATTGGTGGAAGCACTGCCGAGAATTACACCAAATGGTACATTGCTNGGTTCGTTTGGCGACCATTTCCTTGCCGCTGGATTCCGGTCGGAAGTTCAAACGTAGATTCCAGTCATTTCCCGACCGTTTCCTGCAAACTCCGAGCTGGAAACGGTCAGGAACTGATCGGATATTTCCTGTGCAATTCCAGCCGGAATCCGGTGGCAAGGAACCTGCCGGAGCCTGCTGGAATCGGCGAAAACTGTGCCGGAATCGAGAAGAGCTGTACCAGAACCGACTCAGATTTCAACGGATTCAGTCGCCGGACTGATCGACCTAGGTTGCACTCCATATATATATATGTCGTGCCGAAGTTACTTTATGATACCAAATAAGCATTGAGCATTATGAAATAAATTTTTTTCACAACAGCAACTTTGAAAATATTTTCTTATATCAACAATGAGTTGATTAATGTTTATTGATATAAACTTACAAAAAAATACATAGATAACAAAACAACACAAGTAAAGTCCAATACATCGAAGCTATTTGTTGCCACATGTTGAGGAATTATGGGAACGTGAATTGCACAAGACTTTAGCTTGTTTACATGCACATCTATTACTGGTGCAACCACTCTTGCATGAACATTTTTAAAATGCTTGTCCACCAGTAATACTTTGACTTTTAGCAATTTCTCTCAATGATTTTTGCGTACCTTCATTAATATTGTCAATCAACAATGTTGGTGTTCCAGGTGCTTTTGAAATTTGGTTAAAACTATAATAACCATTGATCAATCCATGTTCAGCTCCTAACTTAAATTTATCATTTTTGATTTCCATAATTACAGCGAGAACATTCCGTGCGTCAGTTGGACCACGATCAATATCTGGTAATGGTACCAGCTAAATAAAAAAGTTGTTAGCCAATAGATGGATAATACTTTAAAAAATATTACTTACAACATTGTCTCCAACATCCAAATCAGCTAACTTTTGTCGTTTGGCTGTATTTTGCAAGAATTCATTAGCTTGCCGCTTTTGACCTTCCCTGGCACTTTGACGAATATCAGTAGTTGTTTTAAAGCGGTTGGTAAGTGTTTCATAATTTTTTCGTTTTTGTGTAGTGGCATTTAATTGATCATTGTCATATAAATCATCAGAAAATTCAGAATCACTATCACGTGTCATATTAAGAACAATATTTAACGCTTCCTCTTCATTATCGCTTGCGCATGAATTTTTATTAATTTCATCAGCTGTTAATGCATCTAATTTATTAATTAATTCTTCTTCTGTTGTTATCTTGTTAAATACAGATGGGTGTAAAGACGTTGAAGATAAACCTAATTTTGGTTCGTTTCCAAATAAAACAGAATACGGACTATTATTTAATACTCGATGGAAACAAGAATTTTTTTAAACTGTACAAAGCGCAATCCTTCAGACCATTTTGTGGAATTATTTTCACGAATCCATGTTCCTAAATAGCAAAATGCATATTGTCTATCAACTATATCATTCTAACCTACCTAGCAACTGTTTCGTGTCTTGATTACATCTCTCGACCGATCCCTGCGACTGTGGATGTCGTGGTTTGCCATGTACGATCTTCAAATTCTTCCACGTAAGTGACAATTCTTCGATAACAAGAGCGGTAAATTCTCTTCCATTGTCTGATTGTAAAATAAGTGGTGCGCCAAATAACGCAAAAATATCTAATAAATGATAAGCGACTTCTGCTGCTGCTGTTTTTGTTTTAAGAGGTCGCAAGACACAGAATTTCGTAAAATGATCTTGATAATTCAATATAAATTTAAATGGTCCGTCAGGAGATGATTGCATATCGATAAGGTCTACCTCAGCACGAGAACTAAAATCATTTGAAAGAATCGGATTTATCACTAATTTTGATGAGTTTCTGGGTTTAGAACGTTTTATTTTACATTCTTCACAATTTGAAATAAATAATTTAACTTGTTTTTCAGTAACATTCGCACATCGTTTCTTAATTTCTTTTGAAGTATATTTTATACCTCGATGGCCTACATTTGAATGAGCAATTCTAATTACATCATAAATCTCATTTAATGGAACATAATATTTAACTGTGGTATCTTCTTCTTCATGAATTTTCTTAATTAATTTATCTTGATTGCCAAGATTAATTACATCGTAGGCTTTTAATAATGATATTTCTTTATCATTTCTCTTCGAATTATTTTTCAATTTTGCATTATTTATTATTTCCATTGTTTCATTATATCGTTCAATTGTAAATACAGGATTATTCAATAATTCATTTCTCATTGCCGATATTTTGGAAACGAAATCATTTTTTAATTTGATATTATCACCAGGTGTTGTTGGTACTAACGTTTCTGAAGATGTTATTACAGATGAAGCAGTGGTTATCTATATGAAAATATTTCACTTTCTTCTTAACAAATACTCATTTACTTACTCTTCCAGGTGATGAAATAGAAGATGCCATACCTCGTAATGTTATAATTTCAACAATGAATATCTTTCGCCTTGAGAAAATGTTTTGAAACAATCTTGTGTTACGTTTATATAATATTTGCTTCATACATGCTACTATGATTCGCGGATCATGATTGAATTATCTTATCATTAATGTTCTCAAGTGTTCCTTTTCTTTCATAATTACGCTTATCGGATAAGTTAATTTATTTTCAAATGAGTAGTGTAGAAATCGTTAACTCGATTCGAGCATTAAAACTTTCATTCGATTTCTAAATCTCTTAGTTCATAATTCGAGTAATCGAGTTTTAAACTATTCAACTTCTAAATCTTATACAATTCTAAATCGGATACGGGAGCGTAAAACTACTAAGCTTGTTAAAGTGTCATTTGAAAGTTTGGGAAGCAGAAGTTTCGGAATTATGATTTGTCTACTCAACTGTCAGGTAGTTCGTCCTGTCTCTGTGCTTCGTACCTTACAGTTATGTTATGAAACTAAGTTGAACATAAAGCTAAATTGTAAAAAAACAGGTCAGTTAAGCAATTTTTTATATTCCAAGAAAGATGCTTGAAACAAACAAGTACCTGTGTGGAACAAAAGTAGTCCTCACTTGATCACATTGTATACTGCATTAGTTCTTCTTTGGTCTGTTCTTTTGAATTCAGCTATGTGGCGGCTTGTAGAGAATCAAATTATATCGACGGTATAAAAGCCAACGTCACGTACTTCTCCTTTCATTAGAAATTCCTCAAAACAAAACATGCCGTAGTAGTTTCGTTTCGCAGGGGTATTTATAAAGAATTAGTGGACTTCGTATCTTTAGGATTTGAGAATAGAAAACAATAGATGTTGACAAAAGTATGCATATTTGTTATCATTATCTGACAAGATAACAATGATGCTGGTGTATATGACATTGTGAGAAAAAAGTATATTTAAATCATATTTTTAACGGTAAACTATTTCATTTCATCAACAAAAATGTTTGAAATAATCACGTATTTTTATTGTTTAATTCTACTGATCGGGTTCGTTATTTTATTTTCGTTGTAATTGATTAAATATCAATTTTTCTGTTTTAGTCTATCAAGTAAATTTTGCTTCGAAAAACATTTTCTTTCCTATTTATTCAATTATTTAAATAGGTTCGAAAATATGCCCCACAGCGACATGGTCGAAAGACGGAATTACAGTTGCGGGTGGAAAAGATTATGGGCGTAACCTTGACCAATTAGCTCATCCTTTTGGAATATTTCTCGATGATAATGATACAATTTATATTGCAGATCATGACAATGATCGAATCGTTAAATGGGAACAAAATGCTACAATCGGTCAATGGGTTGTAGGTGTAAAAGATGATCAAGATGGTAGTCATGAATTTTCATTATTTATGCCAGATGATATCGTTGTTGATAAAATTGGTACAGTTTATATAAGTGATGGTGGACATTATCGAGTTGTTCGTTGGCATCCAAACAAAGATGAAAGTGAAGTTCTTGTTGATAATATTCAAGCTACTGGGATTGGACAGGATAATCAAGGATTTATTTATATATCAGAATATGCTGATGGAACGACAACAAAATGGAATTTTAATGATGATGAATTTAGTGGGGAAATTGTTGCGTCAAAATTACGTCAATCATATTTAATATTCATCGATCAGAAACGAACAATTTATTCGACAGGATATTTAACTCATCGAATTGTTAAAATCGTTGAAGGAGAAGACGAACCAAGTCTTGTTGCTGGACAATCAGATAGGTCAGGCGATGATTTTGATGAATTAGATGAACCATCAGGTGTCTATGTTGATGAACAAGAAACAGTTTATATTGCCGATCAAGGAAATAATCGAATTATGCGTTGGTTAAAAGATGCAACAAATGGAACGTTAATTGCTGGTGGAAATGGTCGTGGTTCTGCATCGAATCAATTCGATAAACCTACGGATGTATTTCTTGATCGACAAGGAAATTTATATGTTACTGATATGATAAATAATCGTGTGCAAAAATTTCTCATTGATAAAAGTTCTTGTCAATAAACAAAGAAGTTAATTCCAGAAATCATCCTTATTAGCGAATGTAAATGAATGGAAACGAGCATGTTTGCTTAGGTTTTATATAAATTTGATTTGGATGATTTCGATAATCATAATGCAATTTGTTGAATGAGAAAATAGTGAAAGATTTTTCTCTTATAATGTGTATATTTAGTAAACGAATAAAAGAAATATGATCTTGAGGGTGAGGGTGAGGGTGTGAGTGAGGTGGGTGAAAATATTTTTATGATTGACATCGATAGAGCTCACCGAGGTCCACCTGGAACAAATATTATCAGAGTTGGAATACACTCGCGTGCGAATCCGTGTCCAAGATATCCTACATGAAGTAATCGAGTTATATGATCGTTGAATATTGGAAGTAATCACGGTGTTTCGTTTTCTCTCAGATAATTTTTATTGAAATAAATCTTTTGCTTTTTACGGTCAAATTGCATGAAAAATATTTCGCGAAATTGTTTTCTCTCGGAACAGAAAGTCGCATCTATACTGTTCTGATATGGATTCAGATTATGAAATTAAATCAAATCGTTGAATTCGATGATTCCAAAAGTCGCTGACATAAAGATTTCCTTCTAAATCAAACGATAAACCAATGGGAATATCGAATTGATTTGATTCTTCTCCTTCTCCATTTCCTCCAACGACAACTTCACTTTCTGCCTTTCCTTCAATCCAACGCATTATCCGATGGTTGGAATAATCTGCCACGTAGATGTGATCATAATCATCAACAACCAGTCCACCGGGATTATACAATTGGCCAAGAATACTTTCATGGTCATTGCCACCAGCAACAACAACAATTCCTTCCTTCGCATCTTTCCTCCATTTCACTACGCGATGATTCGAATAATCCGAAATATAAATCGACTGTTCATCGTCAACAAAGATGAAACCAGGCGAATTCAACTGGTTCAGTTGACCTCCCGCTCCGTTTCCACCAGCTACTACTGTCTCATCTCTTCCTTTCACATCACTCATTTTCCATCTTCTCACTTCATGCTTCGCATAATCGGAAACGTAAAGAAAACCGTATCTATCTATCGCCAGGCCGACACAAGTGATATTCTGAACAAGAATTTCTTGGTGCTGTTGATCAAACCATTGAATTACTCGTCGATTTCCTGCATCCGCAATGATCAGTGAATGGTTTTGTTCGTAGACGATTACATCTGTTGGCAAATTCAATTGGTCGGGCCTATTTCCCCACCCATTTCCGCCTGCAGCAACTATTCCTTGACTTTCATTGACTTTCCATTTCATAATACGATGATTTTCCTGATCAGCAATAAAAATATTCTTATTTCGATCGATAAAGATTCCTTTAGGAGAATTCAGCTGATTCAATTTGTCCCCAGCTGTGTTTCCTCCGGCAACAGTCGTTGCGTTTTGTTCCCATTTAACGAACTTCATCTCTAAAATTACAAATATTATGAAGAATGCCTAATTTTTATCAAGCATTCTTGTAGTTTCGATAGGACTTAGCTCGATTCACTAGATACATACTTTTGTGCTCACATTGAGATCCAGCCCATGGTGGCATACACTAGAATAAAGATAGAACGCTTTTCTACTCTCCAACACACGTTCTTTACATTACAAACTTACAATACAAACGTTTGCTGACAGGCAACTTCCGCCGTTCAAACACTGTAAGGGACATACAGCTAAAGAAAAGTCAGAAGTCGAAAATGTTCAGATATTTAAAAAGAAATATTGGCTATTACAGTGTGCAGTAGGAGTTATGATGGATACATTATTTGAATTTGTGATATTAACAGATTGATCTCCAGTAAAAATGATATAATGTAATGACTGATACGGAGGAAGTGAAAAAGATAATCTGCTGTCGCTTGTTCTGTCTGGCAGCTCAGTTGTTATTAGGGTATATTTCGAACGATCATTTGTACTATCCGTTTTATAAGCATCGACTGTGCCATTTTCACCTGGATTTTGTCCTATCACAACTCGATCGCGTAAATCAGGTAAATTAAATGTTGAGTGACCATTTCCAGCTCCAAATGAATCACCAAGAACGAAAAATAGACGCCGATATTCCATGCGCGAGAGAGCTTGACCATGACAGAATACCCAATTGGGTGGTAGAGATTGTGCTTGACCAGAATACAGTTTTATTTCACCAACGAATGGCGATGAAAGATTTGTGTATAAAGTTAACTTGTCGACAGTATTCTTAGCAATTGCCTCCGATACTTGTAGTTCAGCTAATCGCTTCTCGATGGTTGATTGCAATTTTTCCATATTATTTTCAAGAGTTTTTATAGAAGATGAAACTTCTTCGAACTGATTTGTTGGTTGTGGCTGCAAGTTCTCGCTGCTACTATCATTCAGTGTTTCCAACGACTCAAGTCTTTCGTGTAGTTTCTCTACGTAGGCTTTTACGTTTAGGCTATCATTTTTAACAGCTGCTAACGACGATTGTAGAGTGTGTAGACTTGATTCTAGCAGATTGGTATGATTGTCGATAAGTGACACTTTGCTCAGTAATCTATATGATGATTTTAATTCTCTGAGCTGTTTGTCTGTGTTCGATTGTGATTTCTTCATGTTATTTTCGATTGCGCCAAGTTTCCGACTGAGTTCATCTAATTTTGACACAAGTACGTTTGAATGTCGATCAACAACTGACGCATTGATCGGTTCACCAGATGATGGCGATGAAAGAATTCGAACCGGGACAGTATGTACTGATTCAATACGTGTGATAATGATATTCTTATGTACAATCTTGCTATGTTCATTATAGTTAGCTAGATTTAACCGGTAAACTTCGATTGGTTTAACAATAAACTTGTCATCCTTGAATTCGATAAACTGTCGATTGTTGGCATAAAAATCATAATTCTTTTGTCTTAGTTCTTCGAATGATTGAGCCTCATCACTCATTTCCGTCTGTTCCTGCGATGTTGGTTCGCTTTCACATGCGGCACGACGCCATGCATTCTCATTATAAATCGACATATCGTCACTTGTTACATGTAAATTTTCTAATGTATTACGCACACTACGATTGCCTTGATCTGCAGGAGAATCAGAACTGATCACAGCATCTGCCTTTGTCGGGCTAATTGACAAAGCAGCACAAAACTTTCCGATACCAACGTTAACACGGAAACTTTTACTTCTCGTTGTATGTGTACGATATTCTTCATCTATTTGATTGCCTTTATTTTGAGGATTCGATGCCTTCTGCAATTGTTGCAATTCATCATTTAATAGCTGAACAATTCGATTCGGACGTATACTATCTTGATTCCAATAAACTGAATTCCATTGTTGTTTCATATGACCATCTAATGTGACACGATTTTGCTTGAGGCGGGATTTTAACATTTGTATCAATACGTTTTGGTCACTTTGTGAGATATAATCGGAATCGGTCAACTCCTCTAATTCCATCGTTGTCAATATCTCTGTTGCAAATTGATTTACATCATCAGCCAGTAAATAACGTTCATGGTCATTAGCAGTTGACGACGACAATTGTTTCAATGTCAAATATATTTGCGTTTTCATTACGTGCTGCCCAGTAATGGTTACTGTTTTGCGTGTTTGCTTGTCAGTCTGTGTACTGTATTCAAATTCTAAGCCATTCAATATGTCGGGCGTTTGAAGGATATTATTCAATAATTGAGAACATGTTTTATTTGTCGAACATTCAATGAACACGTTGACATTGTTCAAAAGGGCCGTATTTGATTGCCAACTTGAATCGAGCGAATAATCAGACGAAAAAGGATTTGAACGAGACCATACAATGCGAAAAAGTTCCGTGGGAATCATCTTAACTTCGCAAAGTTCTTGCGAACGGTTGCATCGAAGATGTGTGTCCGATAGATATTGTAGAATTGTTTGACGTAGTTCATTTGTAGAGAGAATTAATGATATACGTAATAAATCTTGTTTATCCAATTGCCGATACAAGATTTTCGTATTGTTAAGATTTAATAAAGCCAACGGCGGAATAAACAAACGTGAACGATTTTGTTTATGTTCATAGACTGAGACCTTGGGGATAGTTGAAGTTGAAAAAAATCTTGCGTCGACACGGAATTCGATGAAATTATATAGAAATTAACAATCATGTAGCATTGAAGATACATTTTTGTGTATTTCTCTTGTACTGATGTGTACAAAAGATCTATCATAATAAAATTGTTGTTTTGCTTTTCATATAGAATATGTCAGCGTTAATTTTCTCGTTCCGAAGATAAAAAAACGATCGGTGGAATTAAACTTAAGGCAAAAGTGCATTTGTGACACATGGTGTAAGGAAAGTATCCGATGTTTTCCTCATAATGAAATTGTTACCGATCTACGACACTCATAAGTAACGAAGAGATGCGTTCAATCGAGGGACAGTATGTATGAGTGACAAATAGTTTGAAAAAGACGCCAAAAATAGCATGGTAGAAATTCAATTTTACCACGTCTTCACGTGTTCGTCCATCATTTGCCAATCGAATCGAATTTCCGTTCACTATGTAAGTTTTTTTCAAATCTTTCATCGTTAACTTTATTTTTAATACGCAGAAGAAAAACGTATGATTGCTATATGTTGTGCATATACTACAGCACATTCCAGCTCGAAATTACTGTCCTTTTTCTTTCTCTCGGTTTCTATATACGTCTGATAATCTACCAACTAATTCTTCGTATAAAATATACTATGGTGCCTAGAGAAAAGAAAACAAAAATCGACATCGGCGGTAAAGGCTGCGCATGCGAAAAAAACTACTGTGTCATGTACAAGAATTCATAAAGGAGTTCTATCTGGTTTGCTAAGAATTCTTAAGAAGATTAATTAGTACAATTCAAATCATAGCAAAATAGAAGACGTAGGACAAAAAGCATGATTAGTTTCGATTCCAGTTAGATGCACATAGCATCATCAGGTAGCGATATACGATACATTGTAGTCAACAAATACAAGAGCTTTGTCGCCGATGTGACACTGAGTTCACTAGATCGACGCCACTATACCATCAAGTTCTTATACATGCTATTACAGTAGAGTTGATAATTGCGAGCTTTTAGGATCCATAAAACTACTCTCTTGTTAATGAGGGTCAACTTATACAAACTTCATGAAAGTCGATGGTGTTCTATATTACTATTAATTCTCCCAAAACATGGATGTATAATCTTGTAATATCTGAATTCTCGGTAGCGGTTCTTTACTATATAGTACTTTGACAGATGACGTGTTCATTATACAGGGTGAATGTGACACATATTCTACCCTCATCTATACATATCAAACAATAGGATAATAGCGAGGGTTCGGAAATAAATTACTTCACTGTACTTCAAATACTGTATTTTTTTGCAGTATAGATGAATTCTCGCTTTTCCTCTCTGATATTAACACAGTTCTGTTATGAGTTGCATTTCAAAGATGAATGATGATGAAGCTCGTCGTAAAATCGTATATAAAAACCTTCGACTTCATTCGTCAAGTTTTTATCGATACATTATCTTAAAAGCACTTAGGGATTGATGTTATCAATTATAACACATCATTTTCGAATGCATTTTTCGGGATACCAGTGACCATGATATGGGATGCCACGTATTTCTATGCTGGGAAAGCTAATTCACATGATATACAACGATCCACTTACTTGTGACAAAAAGACGACATTCGGTGAAGTTTATGTTTTTGTGTCTGCTAGCGCGGAGATATTTAAATTTCTTATCAGAATGTTATTTATGAAACACCCTATGCATATCTTTATACCTTCGAATTCATAATTAATTATTTCAACCACGAAAAAAAAAACAAATGAAAATTACAATTTCTCTTTTATACGTTCAAGATTCTCTTTTCGCATTTGTAGAATTGGATCATCTGGTGATAACGAACATTCTCCATTTTCTATAGCACGTACAAGAAATGAACGAGCTTTTACATGATTTTCCATGTTTTCATGTGTAACACCAATATTATTGAGAGATGCACCTATATCAGGATGATTCTTTGGTAATGCTTTTTCTCGAATATCAAGAGCTTTCTCATGATTTGAAAGTGCTTTCGAATGATCAGACATGTTATTATATGCTAAACCAATAATGTTATAGAGTTCAGCCAAATCAGGATGATTGGGAGGAAGTATTTTTTGACGAATTTCAAGAGCTTTTTCAAAAGAGCTTAATGCTTTCGAATAATTACCGTTATTGTAAGACAACATTCCAATATCCATGAGACACACAGCTAAACCAGGATGATTTGCAGGAAGAATTTTCTCATTAATTAAAAGTTCTTTTTCAAAATATGAAATTGCTGCTGAATAATCATTCGAATTGACACATAATAAACCAACATTTCCGTAGGATTTAGCCAAATCTATATGATCAGGGGGAAGCAATTGTTCACGAATTTTTAGAGCTTCTTTGTGAGCTGAAATTGCTTTTGATGTATTATCTATTTTAGAATAAATCAGACCGATGTTAAAATATAAATTTGCTAAGTCAAGTTGATCAGTAGGAGGTGTTTTTTGATAGATAGCTATTGCTTTTTCATAGAACGCTGTTGCTTCGGAATATTTTTTTTCAATATCTTTAATCTGTCCAAGTTGACTATAAATAGCTGCTTTGTTAGTCATATCTTTTGTTTGGTCTAGTAGAAACTGATAAAATTGTTCAGCCTTGTCAAGATAATTCATTTTCATTAAAAGTGAACCTAGTTGATACCATCCTTGTTTATCAGGAGTGTTCTCTTGTCGAATATAATTTGTTAATAGAGCAAGATCTTTGTCTTTATCACTAACAAGAGTCAAACTGACTTCTTGAACTCGATTATTTGCAGCTAATCGTTTAATATCATTAATTCGAAAAAGTGTTGGCATTGAAAACAAAATTCCATCTTCTGCATTAGAATAACTAACATCACGAACAGAAGCAAACGGAAAACTTGATTGAGAAGGATCAATTTTCATAATGAACATAATGCCCACTAGATCACCTTTTGTTCCATTATCTTGAGCAAAACTAAGTGAATGCTTAGAATTTTTACTGGTCAATAGAAAATTGTTAAATGAAATTAATCCACCTCGACTTTTTTTCAATTGTTCAAAATCTACTTTGGTTAAACCTTGAGCATGATATACTGTAAAGATTGCAGACGACGATGGCTTACTCTTATATTGTTCTTGATGAAGTTGTACGATTTGTCGATGAAGATCGACGATAAAAAAACTTATAGATGTGATCATCTCACCATTCATAGTTCGTAATGCATAGTTGAGCATTGGATTTAAAAAACAATCGTTGGTATACCACCATATAGGTGTTTGAGTACGATATTTGCTTTCGAATTCTTTGACATCAACTAATTCTTCTTTGTTGTTTGCAAATAATTCACGACAATAATCAATGAATTCTTTTAAATGTTTTTCTTCGAAATTACTGGTTAATATCACTTCCTTAAGAATATGTGCGTATAAGAAAGGTAAATCTAACTGATCCAAAACTATAGGTGATGGTAAAAAGCTGAGTGGTATGGTGTTTTGTTCACATTGTTGAATTGTTTTCTTAAGTACTCGGCATATGGGTGCTGTATCTCTGAAAACACCGTTGATCTTGGTCCAGAGCTTAATCAATTGTTCGTCACGTGGTCTATTGTCAGAATAAATAAAAACTGAATCTACTTGAGGCATATCATGTATACGAGATATGAATTCCTGTCCAAGTGATCCGAAAATGACTACGCATACTCTCATATCGTCATTTTGAATAAATTCCAAACATTGATCACTATCTGAAAATGTAATATTATTGTGAACAGCTTGTTGTATGTCTGCAATAGCCTGTTGCCAATCTTTGCTTTTACTATCAGCAGTGTTGTACAAACAGATCATACGGATGCTGCGAATATTTTGGATATTGTTGACACGACGTCGTTCGGGATTATGTTCCGAAGTTGTAGACGGTTGATCGGTATTTTTTATGCTTCCTGGTTTCCCGGCACCCATTAGTTTTGTCTTTCTTTTATCGTTTTAAATGATTGATAATTGCTGATTGTATAAAGCTTTACTTCTGTTCCCTTTTCTATTGTTCGTTTTATGTTGCGATGAAAACAATCAACAAAGTGTTGCTCCGATTGGCAAAAAAGTATTTCTTTTCATTGCTTGTTTTAATAGAAAAAGAAATCCTTGAAGAGTTTTCTTTCGTTCTATCGTGAGTCACATTGTTGTGAAGGCATCGAAATTTGCAAGTGTTTTTTGTCATGAAATGCTGAGGGTGTGAGTGGGTTAAATACTGCATTCTCATACACATTGATTCACACTTTCATACTTGTATTTCCAACAATCCATTCTCTTCTCGGTGTATGGTAGAGATGGGCGAGCCATGACTTTTTCAAGTCAAGTCATTTGAAAAAATTTTAAGTGAAAGCGTAGAACGACAGGTGGACTCGAACTAATTGAACCCTTTCTGTTGATAAAAAGAAAAGAATGACGACAGTTTATATAGAGGATGTTTACTACGAATGTATTTTATTGGCTTTCGATAGACTGCACGGCGTCCTAATATTCTGCTCAATGAATATGATACTGACTATTTAAGTGGATAACCTATTAGGATATAGAATTCGCTATGCTCTGAACGAATATTATGTGTAGATTAGAAGGAAGGAAGTTACCATTATCAGCGAGCAAATCATCGTCAAGTGACCTGGAGATGCACTTGAAATAACTATGCCGGACGTATGACTAGCAACGGAACCAAATATGTCACGCTGACTCGGCATAATCATGCTCTCAATCCAGGAGGATCAATTTCTTTCGAATTCAAATAAAAAGTCAATGCGCACAGCATTCGCAGAAATCGGAAATTCCAGTCGAACTGGAATTGACCAGTGTTGGCGATATGTTCGTTCTGTACGTGTACGACAACCGAACTATTGTCTTATCCTCAGAGAAAAATATGATTCAATTACTCCTTTAACTAAACGTGGGCCCAAAATCAATCAGGATCAAGGAGAACTCTACTACGGATAAAACATCTTTTAAATGTTTTTCATCCATGCATCATTTCAAAGGATCGTTAAATTATTTTTTGAAAGAGAGAAGCAAGAAAACAGGCACTACTAATAAAGCTTCACAGACCTAATCACTTGATACTTCTAAAGAAAATATTCCTCACACTTATTTTCTTTCGTATGAGTCTCCTAAAACAAAACGCTTATACGCACGCCTTCACTGTTTCATCTATTTTTGATTCACTTTCGAAACGAATAAATGAAAGTGTTTTGACTGCTTTCGTAAAAGAGAATAGCTTAGTTTTTCACATGTTCGGAATACTATTTACCATTACCTAGTGCGCCCATTATGAAGCAGATACTTCCTCCATACATGGGAGATGGTAAATAACTTGTAGCACAGCACCGTATTAGCAATCTTTTAGTTAACTCCAGGCCAAAGCGAAATAGGATGCTAGGCTGGTACATAATTAATACATGTGTGACCTCACACTCACATCCCAATAGTCCATCGATATCCCTTAGTCGCGGAAATACAGTGAAGATTTTCATGCGCATGTGTATGGAGCGATCTATAATTTTGTTATACCCCGATTCACTCATATTTGCTACAACTTATTATTTTCTTGAAATGCCCCACATTTAAAAAAGAAAACAGAACGCTGAAGAATTGTAATGTTTCCAAGGTATTCTTTCTGCTTGTCGGCTGTTAGCAACAAAAAAATACGAACGATGTGTGCTTCTTTGCTTTCCTTTTTACGATCATTTAGAACTTTTTTCTTTTCTGATTATGTCAGACACGCCGAGTTCGCGTCAACAACAACAATTACCATTAGAATTTCCCGTTCAAGTCCATCCTGGTTATTCAGTATTACCACCGATTTCATCATCAAGTTCTGAGTGTGACAAAACATCTTCAGATGTCAAAGACTTTTGGATTAAACTTCGCGAACATATCAACAGCGAAAGATTGAAACCGTACGATAAACATGGAAATCAAAGAACATCGAACAAAGTCGTTCGAATCTTCGTTTCATCAACATTTACAGATTTTTTCAATGAACGTGAAGTTCTGATTAAAAAAGTCTTCACTGCACTGCGCGATGAAATGCGACCAGCCGGTATTCAAATCATTGATTGTGATCTACGATGGGGTGTATATATACGAAAACCATTTCTGATTCTCATTTCTCATCGTATTTCATACTGTAGGTTCCGAAAGATTCAACAACTGAGCAAACCATCCTAGCATGTCTTGAAGAACTCGATCGATGTTTAGAAGAAAATGGTCAACCATTTTTTATCGGACTGATAAGCGATAAGTAAGACAAATCTTCGTTGGTTGCTTTGGTTTTTTTTCTATCGCTGATTTAGATATGGTTGGGTTCCGAAATTGAACGATTTACCAAAGCATATAACGGAAACCTATTCGTGGATTGATGGAGCATCGATAACATTGATGGAATTTATTCATGGTGCATTTCGTCGAAACAATCCCAATGCATTTTTTCTCATTCGAAAGTCGGAGGATCTTCTGAAGCATCTTCCTGAAAAGTATAACGATAAATTTCGTGATAAAGACCAATTAAGTCAAAAGCAGATCATAGAATTAAAAGGTCAATTATCGGAAATCATCTCTCCCGAGCACATCTTCGCTTATGATTGTTCATACAGTGGCTTAGATTCATCAACCGGACGTGAAAGAGTAAATCGTGCTAAATTTCGATTTGAACTTAATTCGTTTTTAGGTGAAAATCGATGGCTTCGAAGAATTCGAAGAGGGAGCAAAAACTTTCCTACGTGAAGCCATACAGAAATGGTACCCGGAAAACTTCAATCAAGATAATTCAATCAATATCGGTTCGATTTCTGTCGTATCGACGTGCAGATAAACTTGTTTTGATTTGTAGAGGAAAAAGAAATGAACATATTTCTTCTGAATAAAACGCAATATTATGTTGATCGATCCAGCGAACGTTCGATGCTTATGAAGTATATAACTGGCGATCACAGTGGTTTCGTGTTAAATCAGTCCGAGAAAGCAATTGGTCAACCTTTGTTAGCTCTCACAAGTCAACCGGGTGATGGGAAAACCATGTTCCTTGCAAAGTTTGTCTTAGATATTGAAGTACGTTTTTGGAGAAAGGAATTCGATGAAACTGATTTCATGTTGTAGGAAACAATGAAAGACAAAGCTATTATTTACTACTATTTTGCCGAAGGAGCATATCAAGACGGAACTCATTTCATACTGAATAATTTACAGATGAAATTCTTAAAATATCTGGGTAAATAACAATTAACTTTCATATGACAACGTTCGTTACACGTAATTTAGATGACAATGATATCAAATCTTCAAAAACGAATGAGAAATTCAATTTTAGTGATGACTCATTTCTTGAAGACGCTATTGCTGCAATACCAATACCAATCATCATAATTGTCGACGGATTGGAAAAGGTAATTCACCGTGCACAACATATTTGAAAAGAAATCGAAATTCTTGTAGGGTGATCTGCATCATGATCGAGTTTATAAGGACACATTTCCGTTCCTTTGGTTTTCCTCATTGCTAAGTAATCACACATATATCATAATCAGCACAGAATTAAATTCGAATTTGCATCAAACCGTGCGTAACCATTCACATTATGAACTTGAACTTCAATTATTAACAACTGAACAACGTAGTTCATATATTGATATGTTTTTCCATAGTTTTAATAAGGTAAGTTTGACAACAAAAGAAGGAAATCTTATGTTTTCTGTTGTAATTTAAACAGATCCTTGAACCAGAACAGAAATCTTTACTTGTCGACAACAAGGGTGGTGAGCATCCAATTTATTTATCGTATGTTTGTGAAAATCTTCGGCAATTCGGTGATTATTCACTTGTTACCAAACGTCTGAAAAAGTATCCAACAACATTAGATGATCTACTCAATTTTCTACTGGATGAAGCCTATGAAATTATCGACAATCGGGCAGTTATTGACGCGGTAATTTTCATTGAAACTTGCATTCTACATCAAACAAGAATCAATTTTAGTTCTTCAAATTACTGCTTATATCCGACATTGGTCTAGTCGAAGCAGACATGGTCAACATACTTGATCATTATCTGAATAGAAATACAGATGAAAACAATCGAGTAGATGTAAACCCGATGGTATGGGCGACATTACGAAGACATGTCAAAATATTTCTTGACACAACCTGGATCATAGGAAGCCAGTATATCATTTTTCGCGATTCATCCGTTGAAAAGTTATTACGACAACGTTGCTTGAAAGCTGATGAAAACGAAATACGCACTCTTCATGCATTCATGGCCATGTTTTATCGTAAACATTCGTCGATCAAAGATATTGCGACATCTCGTGTATTGTATCATTATGAGCAAGGCCGTATGTACCATGAACTTCTTGCATATTTGAATTCAGTGGAAGGATACATTGTTACTCACCATGATCGACAAAACTATTTACGAGTAAGAATCTTCATTTGCCGAAGAAATATTTCGTTTGACTTTTTTTTATAGCGTCGTCGTTGTACAAACACACTTGGTTCGGTTAATACTAATGAGAATCAACGTGCTTATGCATGTAATATGTGTGCGAAACGATTTAAATTACCTCTATTTATGACGCAGAAAAGTCCGTGTATTATTTGTTCAAGACATGTTCCTCCGGCGAATTCGACTGAAGTACCTCTCGAGAAACGCGAAGCGCGTCTATGTCAAAAGCATGGTACGGATGATTATCCACAAAGTTTTCAATGTGTATTTTGCAAAAAACTTCAACCAATGCCAACAGGAGAATCAGCAGGACCAAGAAAAGATCCTTTGCCGTTATTCATTTGCTGTGAATGTTGGACGGCAGGTGGAGAAACAGAGTCGCGTTGTTCTGCATTTGTTTTGGACTCGTAGAAAAGTCCTTTTCCGTGAAATTCGATCTGAAGTTAATCGAGAATGAGGAGGTCGAATCTACAACTAAACTTGTTTAAAATAAATGGTATTATTGATAATTCTGAAGCATCGAGTCTATACAATCGAAGGCTACTTGTATATTCAAAACATACTATCAAAAGATTTTCGATATTGCAATGTAGCAAATCCATAATTACTTTTATTTGATCAAATTTTGAACATATGCAAGAGAGAACGTATATTAGAAATGACCCAAACGATAGTTCATGTTGAAAAATCTCATCAGAGTCAATGGAAAGGAGTTTGTGCATGGAAATATTTTCTCGACCTATGACGACACCTTCACCTCTAAGAATTACTTTTCGGATACGTTGAACGTCATTTATTTCAATTCATATCATCACAACACGAACAACATTAACGATAGGATAATATAAAGTTGACAAAGTATTGTTTGGTTTATTTTGTATTACTAGCCATTGTAACTTTTGTGGTTGATAACGCAACATTTTGTTTTTTGGGTTTTTTTTTTAAACAAAATAAAACCTTTTCTCTGAACTTTTTTCTAAGTTCAGGTAATGATAAACAACAGACCATTGGGAAAAGAAAAATAACATAATAATAGAGAAATCCCGTATAAGTCAAAGCAACGGCAGTTACAGCCGGTGATAAACCAAATTGAAATGCAAAAATAACTAAAACCCAAGGCCCATTACATGTTATATAAAGTACTGATATTGATAATAATTGTACAATCATTTTTCGATATTTTTTCCATTGAATTTCATGAGTTAACTTTTGCCGTTGAATGATCGTACGAATAATTAATCCAATACTACAACCGACAATAACTAACGTTGGAAATACTTGATGGAAATCTATATCCCATAAGCCCAATACCGTTCGATAAAAAGCGCAAGGTATATGAATACCACCATTAAGAAAATCTTGAAAATCACTGACACAAAACGGATCGAAATGAACATAAGCTAAGTAAATTAAATAATATATTATAATGGCTATTGGAGGAAAATAATGAAGGAAAAAACATCGACGTTTTGTTGCAATCCACTGTTGATGAAATATTAATATATGTCTTTCAATAGTTGCCCATGCAAATAATTCCAATGCGATGGAATAAAATGTATAATTAATATATGTCCAAATTTCATAAAAAACTGTTGCCTGAATTAATGGTCGACGATTATGATCATTATAAAGTATCCAAATGATATCGGTTAATTCATAAAATATCCCAAGACATAATAATATAATAATCACATAATTATGTAATGCTTGACGTAATGAAGCATCGGATAGTAAATAATATAAATCAAAAAAGCCAGTAAGTAATGAAAATATGTTCGAGAAGAGATAAGACCAAAATCGAATTGGATATCCTGGCGACAAAGTCGATTCAGTTGCATTATTATACAATGAAAGAGTTGATGTATTCATGTTCATGTGATTTATGAAAAACAATTTGTAGAATGATAATAACAATCCGTATGAATATAGACTTATATTTTTATTCATGAGATTCCTTTGCAATTTTCATTAAGGAAAAATCATTACTCAAATAATGAAGGGTTTCTCGGACTTGATCATCAAGTATTGAAGAAAGTCTTTGATTGCTCAGATAATTTTGTAAATCCTAATACATACTCAAACACTACTAAGGATTTTTTTCCTCATGACATTGCAAGAATGAATATTCAAAGGTTTTAGAAAATGTCTGGATAGGATGGTGAAAAAAGTTCTCGGTACATTCTACTTTTTCTTGAACACCCGATCTTAGGAACAAAATGTTTTACTGGTATTGTATTCACTCTTACACGAAATTTCTCTAGATTGAAAGTGATAACAATTGAATTCCACGTGGAGAGTTTATTTGATATGCAACTTTTGGGAGATTTGAGTGATACTCAAAGAAACTATTGTCAATTGTAGAAAATAACGAATATATTTACATCGACGACATAGGGAAAGAAAATTGCTGAGGTATTCGTGTAAGATTTACGTTCTGGAATTGTATTCATGGTAGTGAAACCATAGAAACGGTTAAGATGCTTGCATTATATTTATAAAAGAAGAATATCCGACAGATGATTTTCAATCCGTAAGAATGCCTAATAATTGTCATGTTTCGGTCTATTTGTGTGTTTACAGTGCTAAGGAAAAGAGAGAATGCAGAGACATGTAATGATATAGCAATACCAAGAAAGAAGCATTATATGTCAAACTATATTTATCCTCAGTCAGTGGAACAAAAACGAATATATTTTATGGAAATTTTCTGTATTTAATTCCACAAATAGTATCTTCTTGTTCAATGCTTGCAACTTTCTCGGATGTGAGTGAGAAGATTTCATCATCGACTTCTATGACATATGTGACAGGAGCATCATATTTTGCATGAACCAAGCTCCAGGTTCGATGATGACGAAAAGTAAGCGATGAACGAAAACCCAAAGTTGATTTGTGCTCTGCAAAAGAGAGAATAATGAGAACATGCACTTGTACGGTCTATGTTTCTTGTCAGAAAGATTTTCAATGTGGAAAAGATTGTGTTAAAGTACTTGCCTCTCGCTCAAGCACTTCTTGTCGATAGTGGAGAAAATGTGTGATAAAACCGGGTATTAAACTGCTGGTTTCACTGATTAAGACCCGGTTACTGTTGATTGATTCTGATACGAGTGATTCGCCTGGTGCGTAGATATAATTCTCGATTTCATTCTGTGGAATTCTTCCTGTATAGCATTTGCTTGATGCTCGTTGTCGATTATCCGGAGCGAAAATATGAAAACACTGTGGAGTCAATTGGGATAATTGACAGAATTGAAACGAGAACGAACGATTGTATGGATCACAAAGAGCAATTCGTGTATAGGCAAGATTTCTCGATGAATAGCTTACCCACACGTACTTGAGTAGATGTATATGACTATTCTCATTACAAAAGTACATCATATTAGTAATAGACAAGACTGTTTTATCATACTTGATGAATATGTATCTCCCGAGACTATCCGTTTTACATAATGATAAGCCACAAAAATGGGCACCATTAAAACGTCCCGTCTATAGAAAAAAAAGAACTTTTTTCATATGTGAATCTCTGAGTATATACTCACGCTGCAAGGTATTCCAACTAAATAATATGGAATGTGCATGAATCGAAAAGCCAAACGAAATGTATCCTTATCACCGTCGGTGTGCTACGAATAGAACAATTCGTTGAAATAAAGAGTGTGAAGTTTTCGTATAATACTTGATAGAAAAGGGTATGTTTATCATTCATTAATTTGGTTAAATATAAACCTTTCCATACTCGTCTCTTATCAACTAAAATTGCCGAACTATCAAGTTCAAGTTCATTATGAGCACATGTTGTGTTGAGCAAATTCCAGATAGATATATGTTGTCGACTGGTCATAGCATCAGGAAAGAAGAGAGCGCCAAATTTCACATACATTGGATCGAATTGAAATAGATATTCGGGATCACGAGCTAAGTATGAATCACAATCAAGAAAGAGAACTTCAGCAAAAGTAGCACTGATAATAGCAGCTGGTTTGTATGGAAAGTTTTTCAGTAGAGTTCCACTCATATGAGGCGAAAAGACATAAGTTGGATTAAGTTGCCACAGCGTATCGAGAGTTTGACATTGAGTCGATTCGAAACAACAAGCACTTACACTGAGCTTCGGTACGTACTCGAGTAGGTCAATTATCATATCGTTCGAAATTTCTAATGATGAATACCATATCTAATGAAAGAATATACCCGATAGGTTCACTTTTATCAAGATTTTAATGAAGAACAAAGTATTTCATTACCTGTACAGGCAAAACAGTTCCAGTAAATTGAATCATTTTCAGATTGACTTTCGCATATGGGATTTGAAATTTCCCTATGGTTAGCACAATCCCTCGGCCATGGAAATAGTCTTCTGGATATGGTTTGAACTTTTCGCGTGATTCAATAAGAAATTGCCGAATTTGATCGAAGTTTTGCCGTTGTTCAGAAGTTAGTGGAGCACTCATATTACATACAGACGGCGAACTATTGTAAAAATCTGTATGACTCGCTAAACGTTCGCTGACAAGTTTTTCGAAATCGATCATAATGTGAGACGATCGTGCCATCGATGGTAATGACGATATTTCTGACGATTGTTTCATGAATATGATAACGATGATAAAACATGTAATAACGATATAAAGAGTTCTAAACTGTCTGAATTTCATTTTGATCTTAATTCAACCAATTTAACAACGATTGTATTTTTGCTGAAGAAAGCAAAATCAATCTTTAACTGATTAGTAATCAGATGTGAAGTAGACACGAATTAAAAAATTGCTCTATTTTTTGTTTACATTTCAATGTACCTTTTTCTCTTTTTTTGTCCATGTCACTCAAACTGCAGCCACAGAAACACACACATCACTCCTACTTGCTTTCACAAAGAACATATAGAACATGACATGTGTTTTAGCAACGCACGTACACATCGACAGCAAACTGATCGAAAGAATATTTCAAACTTTTCAAATCAATTGCGCAACATGATCGTTCTAGTCAGACACAATGTTCCTGAAATTTATACTTAATATGCAAGCGCAGATGTACTTTCATCTCTGACCATAGTCATCCTCAATCAACATAAGACATGAGAACGTTCGATTGTTATCGTACATTTAACATTGTGTTCTCTATTTCAACTGAAAGAAGGAAAAAAACTGGTTACATAGCCTTTGCTATACTTAAAAAATAGTTGTTTATTAGAAGCGTTCAGATCTTTGAATAAATTGGTCATTACGATAAATATCTACAGAAATTAATCGCCGAAATAATGATTGATCATTGAGAACATCTTGAGTAAATTCTTTCCAATTAATTTTCTGCTCTCGCGTTAAATTATGCTTTTGAAAAACTCGATCAAGAACATCAGTCACATTGGATTTCGACGATGGAATATCGAACAAATCGAACATATGCCGTAAAAATTCTTTAATTTCATCTCGCGAGAGATGTTTTTCCTTATCATCTTCATAAAACCGAAATATCAATTTCATTTTTTCATTGATCGAACCATTATTACTTAACACGTTCAATAAAACAAATTCATAAAAGTCAATCTTCTTATCATTATTCGCATCGAATACATCAAATAACTGTTCAATAAATGGCAATAATTGTGCGCTATACTCGTCTCGTAATTGTTGATAATAAAGAACAAATTGTCGTTTCGATAAATAACCTTGTGGATAACAATGTACAAAACTTGAATACCATTGTTCGATATCTTCACGTGACAAGTCACTTTTTAGAGTTAATAAATGAATATCTTTTGTTGTCAATGACGGAGGTAAACGAGATCGGAAACAACCAGTTGAACCGCCCATTTATATAACATAACTGACGAGAATGACTTGTTATTTGTCAGTGTGACAGATTTTTCTTTGTCGAACAGAAAAATAAGCAACGTATATCGTGTCACAGATGTTTGTCAATGATAATGTTCGAATGTATGATCGGAACAAAGAAAACAACAAACGAATCACGATGAAACATTGTTCAAATAATTTACTTTTTGTAATTACAAAAAAAAGAGAAGCGAAATTCATCTTTATTTGTTCATCAACAATTCAAATAGAAGACATAAAATCGATCGAATGTCATCGTGTATTGGTCATACGGAAGAATTAATTATTTTCTATTAATAGAATGAAAACAATGATAAAGAACTTTGAAACAGTCAATCGCATTACATCGAATAGCGGATAGTTGGTTATATTCATTAGAGCAATTTTCTTTTATCATACACTACAAGGCTTCGACAGACATCTATGTCGCTATACTTTCTATGCAATTATCTCATTCGTTAATGTATAAAATCATCTCTTTATGCTCATCGTCGAGCAGCAATTGAGAAAAATGTCTGTTTCGTTACGTCCATTAGTTGGTATTGCTGTACTCGCTGTTTATCCCAATCGTTATCCTAATTGTGTACTTATTTCTCAGCGGTTAGCAAGTCATGGCAAAGGTGGATATCAACTACCGGGTGGTCATTTAGAATACGGTGAATCCTTCGAAGAATGTGCACAAAGGGAATTAAAAGAAGAAACAAATCTTTCTGCTTCGTCATTTCGATTAGTTCATGTGACAAATACGGTCTTTCCACCACAAGATGGACAATCGAAGCACTATGTAACACTTTTCATGAAGACAATTCTCGACGATGATTCAGCGTTGAAATGCATGGAACCGGAGAAAAATTCCGAATGGACTTGGACAAAGTGGCATGATCTGAAAACAAAGACACTTTTTGCACCTCTGGAACAAGCTGTGAATGATTCCAGTTTTGATCCGTTTGTTGGCTAATCGAGTGAATGAAAAGATATTTTATTTTTCAATAAACTTCAACGATGACAGTGATATCGTTCTTTTTCAGAATATTTCTACTGTAGTTAATAAAAGCACGTAGAAAAAAAAGAAACTTTATTATAAACGTGAAAGAATTCTTCGCATTCGAAGACCATGTCTCTGTTTTGCATTGATATGTACGGGACTGAACATATTGGACATTTTCGTGAAGCTGGCATACATCACTACAGCATGTATAGGCATTAACACAACCATCAAAACAACGTTCATAGTTAGTATTGAGCTTTTGCATAAGTCTTCCTATAATATATATATTCTTAGACGTTCGGTAATATTCATTCGATAGACTATACCAGATCTTGTGGATTGATGACAACAACGGTGTCACTTGTGGTAACTGAAGTAGTTGAAGTCGCTGTCGTCGCTACGAAAGTGAAATAACAAAAATACATAGTTATGATCGTTATAACCAATAAGTCCTTCTCACTCGTCGTTGAAGGTGCAGCAGTTGTAGATGCTGCAGTTGTTGTGGCAGGAGTCGTTGTTGTTATCACAATACCTGTGGTTGTCAACTATTAACAAACAGCCTAATAGTCGTGTGAATAGAAAACATAAATGAACTTACAAGAGTATTGATGCTTGTTGTTGATGTTGGTTTTGTTGTCACTGTTGCAGTTGTGAACGGTGTGGTAGTAGTTGTAGTTGTACTAGAAACTGCTGGATCCCAGATATTGAATCGCCAAAATGATGGATCAGTGATCGGTGCCGATTCCGCATCTTTAGGGTCATATTAATTATATAAAGAAAGTAATAAGACGAGAGCGCAACTTACGACAGAAAACACTTCCACTGGCAAATCCACTGTCCATGGTAATATAGTAGAATTGACCGGTTGCCCAAGTAATATTTGTAGTAATGACAATTGTATATCCTGTATAAACTATGTTAGGCGCATATCCAGCATCATAACAGCCAGCTGATACGTTTGTAGCTGCATTTATAAAACAAATGTTTGTTCCGTTACGAGATGGACGACCAACTAAACTTGTTGCTATCGAATGAAAATGTCGAGAAGTAATTGAGATGTGACATATGGAGTATCGTTCTGAGGGGCCTACCTTGTATGAGGAACATGGATTGATTTTGGAAGACAGTGCCTACTGGACTTGCTGATCCTTGTACAACTTTAGGACGAATTAGATCTGGTGAGTCATAGTTTACTAGATAGGTAAGACACCATGGATCGGATTGTAAATTGCTGTTATCAAGAGCAGCAGCACAAAAACCTTGTGGACCAGACTGTAATGGATCAGGTGTCCATGTCAATGTCATCGTCCATGTATCTATTTAGAAAGTTTTTCTTATTTTTACGAACACAAGGCAATTGTGTTACTTACAAGGACTTATGTGGTTGATAGCACTGTGTGTCATTCCATATGGTGAAGCAGTGATAAAATCAACGATCGTCTGATTAGGACAATATGTTTGTACCATAATAGTCTCATTCAATTGAACATCTTGAAGAAAATTTCGAAATAGTTGAAATGTCTAAATGTGGCTATCGAATGTACTTACTATATGGAACTCCAATACACGCTGAAATGAATAAAATGAAACATTTGTACGTATATTTCATAGGAGAATATTTCTCTTCATACCTCTATTTGGACGAACGCCGATGATAGAAGGACGCGAGCAGTTACTGGAAGGTTGATAACCATAAAATAAGANTTTTCGAGCTTCGAGAATAGGGATTGCACATTATCAGCGCTTCAAATTGAACAGAGCAATAGAATATGTACTGTAAACTACACAGTCACGAAAGGTTTTGATAACTTCGATCACAGATCGAGTCAGTATCAACGAGCTACTTCTTTTTATGAAAAAACTATGAAATCTGATCATGTGCGTCAATGGCTAGCCGTTTAAATTTTAGATTAATCTTAAAGTGTATGCTTAGAATATCCTTGCCAGGCTTCCGATAATTTTGAAAGGGATTTGACGAATGGATATTCCTCAATGGAAATATTCGACAAGGTATCATTTTGTTGACAGGAGAGAACAGAATCGGTTTATCGCCGGAAGACACAAGCAAATGTTCAAACTTTTCAAGTAGTTTACTGTATATCATCCGTCTATGAGTGACTTAGTAAAGCATTTATGAAAATCTCCATGGGCGTGATGTGAAAATAGAAAACCAGATGAGAAAGGTGAATGGTTGGCCGTGAGTGGTCGTCTGACTAGTCGTTGAGCGATGAATTTTCCAGTTATCATAGTGCCATGATTCAGTTTAGCACTAGTAGCAATCGCAGTGTGTTTTTTCTCCTTCAAAGTCTCTGAATGTGTTCAGCATTAGGAAAAGTCTCTCAGAAAAGGGTAAGCGAATCCAAAGGATGAGCGTTAGTTGTTATTATCCTTTCGGCTTCTTCTAAGAAAATAAAATATCTAACTGGTCAATAATTCCGTTAGTTTTTTTTTTCGAGTATCATATAATCCGAGTCGACGTAGATTTGTATAATATTCCGAGAGAATCCGTTCTACAGAAGAAGATTCGACGTCCAGCGATTGAATTTTATAATAAATTTTACGTAAAAGTTTTGAGTAAAATTGACGAAGTATTTTCTCAGGTAATGGTGAGATAGAATCATTGACAGATCTTTCCATCAGTGTCAAATGATCTGTAAAAATAGAGTCTCTTACAAATGAATCGAGTCGCTTGTTGACGCCCATTAAAGAATATAATTAAGACTTGATCATTGTCTAGGTTTTTCAAAATAATCATCAGAATTTCATCTGCCAAATTATCTTATCGAGCGAGTAAATTAGCCATTATTGTGGTCTTTATCTATTAGATTCATTCATACAGACGTTCACGTCATGTGTATGACCGTCGTCGTCAATGAAGACAATGATATTCTTTGTTCAATAATCAAACTTGACTATTGGATTAGCGGATAAATGAAAAAATATATCAATCTTGTTTGATTTTTTTTCTCGTAATCCAAAGTACAAGAAATCAAAATGAAATGCGCTCCTATTGTGATAGGGATGAGCGTGTCTCCTTAATGTGTTATGTTCACATTTTCCACAGAATATATGGCACTACTTATTCTTACAACTGAAATCTTGATCATTTATTATTTTCTCTCGTATTTAGCAGAATGACAATAAAGCTAACAAAAAAAGATTATGTCAACACGAGTAGATCGTTTAGTTCAATACTGGAAGAAAAGTCTTGTGTTTGATAATGATTAGTGAAAGGTTCGACTAATAAACTATCGGACTTTTCATTGATTATTTTGATTAAGATACATAGAATTCGAGAATATGATGAAAAACTTTGTTGGTTTATTGTTGAAAGATGATTCAATGTATGAGAATTGTGAAGAGATTCAGTCAATATTTGATCATTTGTTAAATCTTCATAGTTGAAAAATTGATTTGCAAGACAACAAGATGCAGTTTTCGATGAATTTAATTGTGATTTTTGGTTAAACTGGTAAATTAAGAAAAATGAAGTGGAGGATTTTCTTTATTAGTTTCTAGTACGTTTTGATGAAACCTTTTGGATCACACGATAGAAAAATTCAGTTCGATGGAAGAAAATGCATTTTTTCAATCGGATTTTCATTTTCATCAGGAATTAACAAGAAAATTAATCGAGAAAGATTTGTATTCGACGAATTTCCATATTTACCTAGGGTATACCAATAATTCGTGATCCGATATTTAAAGAACCTTGTCGACTGAAGTGACTTACTCTAAAATAAGAAAACAATATATTATGTTATCGAGCTTTTCGAGGTACATCGAATGGTATATATTAAATTCTGTTTTCAAAGAATTCTGAAAGGTTTCCAGTGAATTTAACAATGGACTAGTTCATATCCGCACCCGTTCATACTTGCTCGTATGTATAAGTAAGTTGAGTTAATAATTGTTGTGATTATTGCTGTAGATTGAAAGTATTTGTAAGATACTGTTTTTCGCGTGCAATTTCGGTGTTTCATGGACTACAGTCTCATATTCGTACCAACTCCGATCGTCTTGTAAATGTGAACGTGACTATGGATGCATACGGATATGAAGTGGTGCATTTTTAAATTCACTGGAAATCTTTCAGAATTCTTTGAAAACAGAATTTAATATATACCATTCGATGTACCTCGAAAAGCTCGATAACATAATATATTGTTTTCTTATTTTAAAGTAAGTCATTTCAGTCGATAAGGTCCTTTAAATATCGGGCCACGAATTTTTGGTACGTGCTAAGTAGATATTTATCAAAATACGTAGTTCTGCATGCCAAAGTAGAAAGAAAATCATTACGAATGTTCACGTGACAGAAGAAAAAAACAAGCAACGACAAATAGTCAACATTGGTTTGTATTCGATGAAAAGAATTCGCAATATTTTGTGCACAATCAATTCGCATCTTGAACGTCCATTCCATTTTCATGAATTTAGAAAATATCTCCAACCATCGATTGATAGAAAATCATTAGTCGATCAAACAAATCAAAATGACTTTTCAATGCTGAGAAATGTTTTGCAACTAATTTCTTACTATGATTTGAGAATGCCGTACAGATCGGAAGATATCCAGTAAGCATGGGATTAATATTATTTGAAATTATTTTATTACACAAACTATGGCTCTATCAAACAGATTCTTAACGATTTTCGGCTGTATTCCCAAGGCGGTGGATGTAATAAAAACATCGTGCGGAAATTTTCCAACGAAAGTGTAGCAAATCGTGTTTTTATTGCTGGTATTGGTGATTCATTTCTCGCGCTTCGTTATTCGGCTGCAGTATATGATGTCCTTGCTAATGATATATCATCTGTTGCTATTGAACATCGAACCAAGATCAACCAAGGTTTACCGATGTTTCTCATTCATTTGTTACATTACCGAAGGCATAAGACGGAATTCGTTTTTAAAGGAATTATGAGAAACCGTTGGAAGCGATCGGATAAAATCGAATATTTAGTTCATGATCTTGGAAGGCCGATGGAAATGATTGCGGATGAATCTTTTGGTACCATATGCAGTAGCTATGTATGACAAATAATATCAAAGGAAGTAGAAGAAGTAATGGTCGAAGAGCATTGCCGTATATTATCGAGAGGGGGAACATTATTTGTTTTCTCTCATAATATTCCTGGAGATATGTTGATTGATCGAATAAAATTATTAGAAAATGCTGGTTTTATCATTGTTAATCAATCTCGTAAGGAACTTCAATACTGGCGGGAGTCATTTTCATCGATCGAACATAAAAAAATTCAAACGATCCGTAATGAGATTGAGAAAAAAACTTAGAAGAAAAGCAACAATTGCTACTACAATCTCCTGAATTAAAACGAGTTTATATACTTCTCTCTTCAGGATAAATACCATGTTACCTGCCGATAAGATCAAATTCAACTGTTATGGAAAGTTTACAGAATAAACAGATCTGCGTTTGTTTGAACTGTCGAGAGAATGATTAAGAATAAAATTTCACTTGTGAGAGAACGCGAGTCCTCATATTCTCATTTCGTTTGTCTCCGTGAAGACAATAGGATGGGTAATGTTCGTCTCAATCATTGTCTGTTTTAATCTACAGCGATTCAACGCCTTTTCTTTGTATTCTTATCAGTAAATGTGTTTTATCTTTTGATGAGAAATCAATTTTCTATGAGAAGAAGATACTCTTTTACGCGAAACAAACGTTTCAATTCGATAACTGACATTATCACAAGCACGTATAAAAACATGCCTTCGCGTACACATCATTCTCTTATCATTTATAAACACTCTTTTTCTCGACTGTTTACGCCGGTAATAGAGATCAGTACAAATGGATAATACTCGTTTACGTTCCACTATTTTGAGCGCCATAGAGCGTCTAAGTGATAACGATCTAACCCGTCTTCACTTCTGTCTCGGCGATGACGTACCACGAAGAGTTCGAGATGATCGAACACATAGTGGAACTCTCAGTCTAATAGATTCACTTTTTGATAGAAATAAAATTAACAACGAAGATTTGACTTATCTAATTCAAGCATTTGATCAAATTCAATGTTATGACGCTGCGAAGCTGCTAAGGGGTTAACTGATTTGTGTTGATCCAATATATTTATTAATTTTTGATACGTTTAGAATATATGAAGCCAAATCGAGCAATGGTAACAAGTCAACTTGTACGAAGCCCACCATTAGGAGAGGCCATTCTTGTGGATGCATATGTAGACGAGGATAGAATCTCAGTAAGTACAGCCAGATATAAAATAAAATTAAAATATTTCTTCTAGGAACATATAATTTTACATTCCTTAAATGAACGGTACAAATCTGACTGGAAGAAGCCGTTATATACTTCTCTTCATTCTGGTGCGTTTGAACCCGTATGAAATCAGTGACGACTCAATGAAGTATCAGTCGAAGAGGGAATAAGACTTCTGTTTTCACTGTATTCTTTCGACAAAAGGCTCTGAAGGACCGCTCCATTTCTATCAAAGCATTTATTGTTAGTTGTTGATCAGAAGAAGGGATGAATGAAACCGAACAAAAGGTCTAATTTGACTTTATATGGTTGAAAATACAGGATTTTCTTTACAAAAGAAACGTATTATCATTTTCGTTTCTCGACAACCGGAATACGTTCACTTCATCTTATTATTTGACTATAATTTTAGAGACAACATCTTTGGCATCTACACTAATGGGTGCATCAATGAAGACCATAGAAAAGGAAGAAAGTATGCGAACAGCTTCAAGAGCGAGTCATTTTTTACCTTTCGTTTTTGAAGTGAAAGCCAGTGAATGGAAAGCAGATGTAAAAAGCGTAGCCGGAGGCAATAGATGTGGCGAGAATTTGAACCAACTTCATCGACCCAACGGACTTTTTATCGATAAAAGTCATAATATTTTCATTGCGGATTGTTTAAATCATCGAATAATGAAATGGGAACCGAGTGCAAATGAAGGAGAAATTGTTGCAGGCGGAACTGGAATAGGAAACAGAATGAATCAGTTGAATAGACCAACAGACGTGATTGTTGATGAACAAGACAATTCGTTGATCATCGCTGATCGAGGGAACAGAAGAGTGATTCGATGGTGGAGTCAAAACAACCAAGAAATTCTCATCAACGATATCCAATGTTCGAGCTTAACAAGAGATAAAGATAACTTTCTTTATGTTTGTGATGATGAGAGACATGAAGTAAAAAGATGGACAATCGGAGATACACAAGGGAAAGTGGTTGGTGGTGGAAATGGACGTGGAAATCAACTTAATCAATTCGATCATCCTCATTTTATCTTCGTTGATGATGAACAATCGATTTATATTTCAGATCTTTGGAATCATCGTGTAATGAAATGGAAAAAAGATGCACACGAAGGAGTTATTGTTGCTGGTGGAAATGGAAGTGGAGATAGTCTAAGTCAATTAAATTGTCCTACAGGAGTCATTGTTGATGATTTCGGTCAAGTTTACATTGCAGATTATTTAAATCAACGGATAATGCGTTGGAGAGAACGAGACCAACACGGTGAAATAATTATTGGTGGAGATGCTTGGGGAGAGAAATCCATTCAACTGTCTGGTCCCTCTGGTATATCATTCGATATTGAAGGAAATCTTTATGTTGTCGATAGTGAAAATCACCAAGTCCAACGGTTCGATTCAGTTTGTGAGTGCAAAGCTTCTTTTCCAAATGTAAACCTATCTCGAAAAGTTTGATCATAAATTTTGAAATCAGACTTTTTTTCTCTTCACAGATAAAACATATATGACTATAGTTGTATTTTAGTACTAAAACGCAACATTACTCGTCGTTTGTTGAAAGATTTAGTCAAATCAAAACTAACAATTATTTGTCTCAATATCCCACTTAGTTCTACGTATTTCACAAATATGGAATATTATGAGAATGATTACAGATTTCTCTGCGATCTTTCAAACATCAAACAGAAACAAATTCGTCTTATTTTACCAATAGCCACAGCCAAAGATCTCGTACCACTGATTCATAACTATCATTTTGTTGAATTCTTCTATATTTTAAGCTCTTCAACGGTAAATAACGATGAACAAAGTTGGATTGGTCAGTATCCAAAAATCTTCGGCATATTCGATTCACAAAATGAAATAGTGAAAGCAATCCACAAAAGTGATAGTACTTATTTCTCTGCAAGTTTGTTTAGTGAAAGAGATCTCGTCTATTCATTATATACACAAACTATATGTACGAAACACAAGGATTCTTTTGCTACGATTAAGAACACTTTGAATGATGTTTACATGAAATTTATCTTATGCTCTGATTATACCACAGATCAATTACCATTGATTACACAATTTAACAACAGTCAATATGATTTTCTTAGTTTTCAACTGATGTTCGACATCCTATACGATTTACCATCTCTTTCGAATCCTGCTGATAAAGACATGATATCTTGCAGTCAATCATGCCGAGTATATCATAAAGTATTTGATACAATTGCAAGAAATATTCAAGATCATTCATTGGCAGACTTGATAGACGATTCAAGAGATATTTCCGCTTCTTTCTTTACTTTCATTGAGCATTTATACAAACACGGATTATCTATGGAAAGAATTTTAACATCCCAGCAATTACTCGTCAATATTCGAGATGTTATTAATCATTTAGAACCGTGTACTTCTCCATCTACAGTTTATTGTGTACAACTTATCAAAAGCGATCAAACCAATTTATTTGAAAATCAAAACCATTCAACGCTTATCACTTTCCATTCTCATCTTCTTGCATCGAGAAATATTTTAACTACGCGTACAATTGCCCGTGAATTGAAGAAAAAAGAATATCAAAGTGTGATTTTGGAAATTTACGTTCCAAAAAAATATGTTCATACAGTACATTATATTGATACTGATCGTATCGTATTCCATTTAGGATCGATATTCCAAATACATTCGACTGAACTGTCATTCGATGGAATTTTGTATATAAAATCAAACTATATTTTATATTCAAATGATTTCCTCAAAGAACAGATTTATTTTCAAACTCAACAAAACTTCACATGGTTCACTTTTGGAACTTATCTTTCGATTTTAAAGAAATATGACGATGCTCTTGTTTATTATCGATATATATTAGATCATGTTAATTTAGATAACTCAAATCGAGCATCGAAAAATAAGGACGTGGAATCAATAAATCATAACGTGCCGGTTTCTGATCTAGAGAAAGTATTGAAGAATTACAAAAATCTACTTTTTTCTTCATCTGACTCAGATTTGTGTCATGTTTACAAAGAAATAGTTCTATCGATTTTAAGTAAAATAAAATCCGATTGTCATTAAAGTTCTTTTTTATCTTTTAGATTTTCTTGAACGATGACCGAACTAGTATATCTCCATTGATCATGTAAGAGATCGTTTGTTACCTCATGTTATTTGGATCTAGACTTGTTTCCTTTTCTTTTCATAGGAATATCGAAACCTACGACGAACCAACACTCGTTGATTCCAAGAGAGCTCTCAGCGAATATTTTACTGGAGTTTGGTTTTGTGATCATCAAGCAGAAATACCCGAAGACACGAACACTGAGTTGAACAGACAATTACGAGAGTTATTTACAAGTTTTTACATTATTGATAATACCTTTGAATTATTCGATTATATCAAAAACGAAGATCGAGCAACATTATTATGTTTAATTGTTAGTAGTAAATATGGAGAATATATTATCGATACAATTAGAAGACATAATAAAAAATGTCAATTCATTTACCGGTTCGAGTATGAACTCAATGATTTGCATTATCAAACTCCAATATTCACAAATATAGGTGCACTTTTTGAGAAAATATCTACAAATATTCAACAATTTAATAGAAATCATTCGATCTCAACTAAAGATGAACTTCGTCAAAACGATACTCTTGGTGACCAAAGGCTCAGAGATCTATTTCCTGGATTGTCTATTTACAATTTCTCAATAAAACAAAATCCAATTCAATTTTTTAGCGAAGATTCATTGAAATTTCTCCTTTTCCAAACTCTTACCGATATTATTTGTGAAATGAACCAGGATCAAGCATCTTTCAATGATTTGATATGCGAATGTCGAGGTTTTTATCATAACAATCCTTCCATGTGGTCTCACATCGAAGATTTCAAAGTTAACTATAAGTCTTCCAGTCAAGCCATTTTCTACTACACACAAAGTCAGTTCTTGTATCGTACTTTAAGTCGAGCATATCGCAGTGAAAATATTGAAAATGTTTATCAATGTAGAAAATTCATTGCAGATTTACATCGTAATTTAGAAGAATGTCAGAGAACTAAGAAAAAATCTGTACAATTCAAGACTTTATATCGTGGATCCAAATTGCCTCGTTCTATTATTCAGCAGCTGATTGACCATCGAGATCATCTTATCTCTATCAATGGATTCGTTTCAACAACAACTGGTCGTGAAGTAGCACAATTCTTTTCTGGTGATGATGAAACCGAAAATAGTAGAGTTAGTGTTGTTTATGAGATGAGTATTGATCAAAATTTCAATCGAGTATTCGCAAATATCAGAGAGGAAAGTCATTTTGGAGATGAAGATGAGGTTCTTATGGCAACTGGTACGGTTTGGAAAACCAAGTCAGTCGTACGGCAAAATAATATTTGGACTATTACATTAGAATCTTGTGACAAAATGGATTCAAAATTACGAAAAATCAAACGTTCCCTTATTCATGGATCCAGTCTTCTTTCACTTGCTGATATTCTAAGAAAGCAAGGTGATTTGGTCAAAGCTGAACGATTTTATAAACGAACGCTTAACGACGATTCCTTTGAAGAAAAAAAGAAAGGTTTTGTCTATAGTGGACTAGGAATGATTTATCTTCAACGTGAACAAATTGATGAAGCTGTTAAATATCTTCAAATGGCGCTTCCATTGCTTGAGCAACAATCAGATCAAACTTTTAATACCTCGTCATCAGTATACTTGTTCTCGTCCGACGAGCCAACAACACGAATTCAAGTTCTTCATAATATCGGACTTGTTTATCAAAAAAACCGCGAGTATGACCAAGCTTTTGAATGGTATAAGAAAGCGCTCAAGGAAACAAAAGAAACTTCCAATACTTACGAAAAAGCAGTGGTTTGCTACAACATAGGTCGTTTATTCATTACTCAAGGTCGATATTATGATGCGTATCAGTATTACAAACAGTCAGTAGAACTAACTCCTCTTGGTCACCCAAAGAGAAGAACGTTTCAAAATGCGTTAGACAATGTCGAAAAGTATCTCATCGAACAGAAGTCAAAAAGTTCTAGCGTAGGAACACAACAAAGAAGGTTAAACGGTCGTTTACATAGCTGGAACAGATGTATAGTGTTTTAGAATCTAGATTTCAATAAACTATGCGCAAGTTTGATAAATCCTGAGGGAGTAGTGTAGAAATCGTAAACTCGATTCGAGTATTAAAACTTTCATTCGATTTCTAAATCTTATACAATTACAAATCGGGTACGGGAGCGTAAAACTACTAAGCTTGTTAAAATGCCATTTGAAAGTTTGGGAAGCAGAAGTTGCGGAATTATGGTTTGTCTGCCCAACTGTCAGATAGTTCGTCCTGTCTCTGTGCTTCGTACCTTACAGTTAGTTATGAAACTAAGTTGAACATAGAGCTAAATTGTAAAAAAAAACAGGTCGGTTAAACAATTTTTTATATTTCAAGAAAGATGCTTGAAACAAACAAGTACCTGTGTGGGACAAAAACAGTACTCACTCGATGACATTGTATACTGCATTAGTTGTTCTTTTGAATTCAGCTATGTGGCGGTTTGTAGAGAATCAAATTCTATAGACGATGTAAAAGCCAACGTCATGCACTGCTCCTTTCATTAGAAATTCTCAAGATAGAACATGTTGTAGAACTTTTGTTTCACAGGGTACTTATAAAGAATTAGTGGACTTCGTATCTTTAGGATTTGAGAATCAAAAACAATAGATGTCGACAAAAGTATGCATATTTGTTATCATTAGATGAAAAGATAAGAATAATGCTGATGTATATGACATTGTGAGAAAAAAGTATATTTAAATCATATTTTTAACGGTAAACTATTTCATTTCATCAACAAAAATGTTTGAAATAATCACGTATTTTTATTGTTTCATTCTACTGATCGGGTTCGTTATTTTATTTTCGTTTTAATTGATTAAATATCAATCTCTCTGTTTTAGTTTATCAAGTAAATTCTGCTTCGAAAAACACTTTCTTTCCTATTTATTTAAATAGGTTCGGAAATATGTCCCACAGCGACATGGTCGAAAGACGGAATTACAGTTGCGGGTGGAAAAGATTATGGACGTAACCTTGACCAATTAGCTCATCCTTTTGGAATATTTCTTGATGATAATGATACAATTTATATCGCAGATCATGATAATGATCGAATCGTTAAGTGGGAACAAAATGCTACAGTCGGTCAATGGGTTGCAGGTGTAAAAGGTGATCAAGATGGTAGTCATCAATTTCCATTATTTATGCCAGATGATATTGTTGTTGATAAAAATGGTACGATTTATATAAGTGATGGTGGAAATCATCGAGTTGTTCGCTGGCATCCAAATAAAGATGAAGGTGAAGTTCTTATTGATAATATTCAAGCTACTGGGATTGGACAGGATAATCAAGGATTTATTTATGTATCAGAATATGCTGATGGAACGACAACAAAATGGGATTTTAATGATGATGAATTTAGTGGGGAAATTGTTGCGTCAAAATTACGTCAATCATATTTAATATTCATTGATCAGAAACGAACAATTTATTCGACAGGATATTTAACTCATCGAATTGTTAAAATCGCTGAAGGAGAAGACGAACCAAGTCTTGTTGCTGGGCAATCCGATAGGTCAGGCGATGATTTTGATAAATTAGATGAACCATCAGGTGTCTATGTTGATGAACAAGAAACAGTTTATATTGCCGATCAAGGAAATAACCGAATTATGCGTTGGTTAAAAGATGCAACAAATGGAACGTTAATTGCTGGTGGAAATGGGCGTGGTTCTGCACCAAATCAATTCGATAAACCTTCGGATGTATTTCTTGATCGACAAGGAAATTTGTATGTTACTGATATGATAAATAATCGTGTGCAAAAATTTCTCCTTGATAAAAATTCTTGTCAATAAACATAGAAGTTAATTCCGCAGAGATCATCCATATTAACGAATGTAAATCAATGAAAACGAACATGTTTGCTTAGGTTTTATATAAATTTGATTTGAATGATTTCAATAATCATAATGCAATTTGTTGAATGAGAAAATTTTGAAAGATTTTTCTCTTATAATGTGTAATATTTAGTAAACGAATAAAAGAAATACGATGATGAATAATATACAGTAGGAATCAGCAGGGATACTCGTGCGTAATCAAGAAATATATACGTTGGTAGTTTCAAACGTTGAAAAATGATACATGCAGGAATAAAGTTCAAATGGAAATCGGACTAAATTGATTCATTGGAATTCACTCTCGCTCTCACGATGATAACTGATACTTTCAAAGTGATTTATTTTTCGAAATTAATATGAATTATCAAATTGTCTGTAAGAAATGATTAATTGAAAACAGCACGAAAAAAGGTAATCCGTCATTCATGAGTATATGTTAGTTATTTATCATAAAAATGAAGTTCGAGTGCATAATACGAATATTTGTGAACTTGGGCAGTAATTAATGTGCAGTTCCCAGACTGAGTGGTTGAAGTCGAGCTTTTGCTCTCGTTGCTTCGATGATGGCTTGATGATCTGCAATAAATGTAAAAAGATATTGTTTTAAATAGCCCCTGTTGCAAAAGTCTTGCGACAAAGTGTTTGTTCGCTTTTCAGACATTTAGAAGTAAACTCGGAATTTGAAAAAAAAAGTATTTAGAATCAATGAAAGCAAATCTCTAATAGAAACTAAAAATGACATTTGTACAACATACTTTACGTGCTCTAGTTGTGTACTCTGATCAAAATCAACTCAATTCAACTTCTAAAGACATACTTTTGGAGAGCAAAGCTTGTTATACAAATTGCTTGATCTACTTTGTATTTCACTCATTTCTCGTACAGTAAACGAAAATGTTACTAAAACATCTTCTTTGAACATATGCTAATATATAAATAGTAACCTTCCAAAAACCTCTTTTCTTCGTGTGATTATTTTAAGCCGAGCTATATTCAAATAGAGGATCGAATTTCGATGATAAATAATTCGTTTTGATTAATTCAAAATGTCTACAGTTGAAACGATCGCGAAAGAAATGCAGGTGTATCTGTGAAACTAGTCATTTATACAAATGTCATTTGTAGTTTCTACCAAGGATTTACCTTAGTTGATTTTAATTTTATTTCGAAGAAAATTCTGAGCACATACTAAGAGAGAGCATCCAATTCTGATTCGAACTACCTTTTTTCAAATTTTCAGATTGCTTATGAATGCCTAAAAACGTTTGCAACAGGAGTTAGTAACTCTCTCAAAATATCTACGTGCACCTAATGAATATACTTTATCTCATTTCATTGCGAAAACATTAAAAAAATCTGACTTACTTTGAATAGATGCTGAGGTAACTTTTGATGATATATCCAAAATTTTGTTCATTCGAACGCCTATAAAAGAAAAACAAGAGATTAATCTACTTTATTAAAACATATGTCGAAACATGATGTATACTTACCAACACCACAATTTGTATTGTTGACTGTATATTTGTTTATGACACCATTATAATAGTCAGCAATATACACGTTACCAACCGAATCAAGTTTAAAGCCGAAACTTATTGAACAAGATGAAATAACAATAGTACCCGACGTTGAACCTGGGTAAAATCGATAGAGGCCGCAACTACTCGATACATAAATGATTCCATAAGTATCAACGAAAACATCAGTCGGATAGCCTAGCTGTCCATTGGCACCGGCGACTGTTACGCCTGTCGATGATCCAGGTAACCATTTTTGAATTCGGCCATTGCACGCATCGGCAATATAAAGACTCATATTTTGATCAACATGGATACCTAATGGACATCGAAGTTGATTTGTACCATTACCTCCAGTACCATTTAACATTCCAGCAGCTAACGATCCGGTAGTTGATCCTGGTGCCCATTTCATAACTCGATTATTGCTATAGTCTGATACGTAAACATTGCCAAGCAGATCGACTGCTACACCCCAAGAGGTCTCCTGTTGATTAGAATTAGATCCATAACTACCACCGGCAACAATTTGACCGATGATCGGCGGTGTTGAAGATGCTGATAAAATGTTAGAATACTTCATTATTCGGTTGTTGTACATGTCGGAGACGTATAAATTTCCGTAGACATCAATGATCGATCCGGACGGATTTGAAAACTTTATAATACGATTGTTGTTGCCGTCACTGATATATAGATTCGAATGGCTGTCAATTGAAAAATCCCATGGTCCATTTAGCATGCGTGTACTATTACCAACGGTTCCGTTACCAGCAACAATGGTAGGCTTTTGATTCCAAAGTAAGCATGATGTATTTAAAAGATAGGTTGAAAGAAGTCATCACTTTAACTATACTCCTTCTATAGTTTAGGAAGTTTTTCTTATTTCGTTAAGATTTGTATACCAGCTTTTTGAACTTACTTATATTGGGCACAGATGTAAGGGGTGGAACAGTGGTTGCTGCTGTTGTTGTGGTCGTACTGCGGTTCGGCGATGCTAAGACAAAAACTTAATTATTATGCACACTGTGAATGCCTTGATCTGCATGAGAATTAGAACTGATCACAGCATCTGCCTTTGTCGGGCTAATCGACAAAGCAGCACAACACTTTCCGATACCAACGTTAACACTGAAACTTTTACTTCTCGTTGCATGTGTACGATATTCTTCATCTGTTTGATCGCCTTTATTTTGAGGATTCGATGCCTTCTGCAATTGTTGCAATTCATCATTTAATAACTGAATAATTCGATTCGGACGTACACTATTCTGATTCCAATAAACTGAACTCCATTGTTGTTTCATATGACCATCTAATGTGACACGATTTTGCTTGAAGCGGGATTTTAACATTTGTATCAATACGTTTTGATCACTTTGTGAGATATAATCGGAATCGGTCAACTCCTCTAATTCCATCGTTGTCAATATCTCCGTTGCAAATTGATTTACATCATCAGCCAATAAATAACGTTCATGGGTCATTAGCAGTTGACGACGACAATTGTTTCAATGTCCAATATATTTGCATTTTCATTACGTGCTGCCCAGTAGTGGTTACTGTTTTGCGTGTTTGATTGCCAACTTGAGTCAAGCAAATAATCAGACGAAAAGGGATTCGGACGAGACCATACAATGCGAAAAAGTTCTATGGGAATCATCTTAACTTCGCAAAGCTCTTGCGAACGGTTGCATCGAAGATGTGTGTACGATAGATATTGTAAAATTGTTTGACGTAGTTCATTTGTAGAGAGAATTAATGATATACGTAATAAATCTTGTTTATCCAATTGCCGATACAAGATTTTCGTATTGTTAAGATTTAATAAAGCCAACGGCGGAATAAACAAACGTGAACGATTTTGTTTATGTTCATAGACTGAGACCTCACCTTCCAAATAAGAAATTGATGTGAGAGTTGATGGGNAGAATTAATGATATACGTAATAAATCTTGTTTATCCAATTGCCGATACAAGATTTTCGTATTGTTAAGATTTAATAAAGCCAACGGCGGAATAAACAAACGTGAACGATTTTGTTTATGTTCATAGACTGAGACCTCACCTTCCAAATAAGAAATTGATGTGAGAGTTGATGGGGATAGTTGAAGTTGAAAAAAATCTTGCGTAGACACGGAATTCGATGAAATTATATAGAAAGTAACAATAATGTAGCATTGAAGATACATTTTTGTGGTTTTTTCTTGTACTGATGTGTACAAAAGATCCATCATAATAAAATTGATGTTTTGCTTTTAATATAGAATATGTCAGCGTTAATTTTCTCGTCCCAAAGATAAAAACGATCAGTGGAATTAAATTTAAGGCAAAAAATGCATTTGTGACACATGATGTAAGGAAAATATCTGATCTTTTCTTCATAATGAAATCGTTACTGATCTACCACACTCATAAGTAACGAAGAGATGTGTTCAGTCGAGGGGCAGAATGTATGAGTAACAAATAGTTTGAAAAAGACAGCGAAAATAGCATGGTAGCAATTCAATTTTACCACGTTTTCACATGTTCGTCCATCATTTGTCAATCGAACCGAATTTTCGCTCACTATACAAATTTTTTTTCAAATCTTTCATCGTTAACTACATGAATTATGTTAACTTTGTTTCTAATACGTAGAAGAAAAGCGTATGATTGCTATATGTTGTGCATATACTACAGCACATTCCAGCTCGAAATTACTGTCCTTTTTCTTTCTCTCGGTTTCTATATACGTCTGATAATCTACCAACTGATTCTTCGTATAAAATATACTATGGTGCCTAGAGAAAAGAAAACAAAAATCGACATCGGCGGTAAAGACTGCGCATGCGAAAAAAACTACTGTGTCATGTACAGAATTCATAAAAGAGTCCTATCTGGTTTGCTAAGAATTCTTAAAAAGATTAATTAGTACAATTCAAATAATATCAAAATAGAAGACGTAGGACAAAAAGCATGATTAGTTTCGATTCTAGTTAGATGAACATAGCATCATCAGGTAGCGATATACGATACATTGTAGTCATCTAGTTTTATTATATCAAATACAAGAGCTTTGTCGCCGATGTGACACTGAGCTCACTAGATCGACGCCACTATACCATCAAGTTCTTATGCATGCTATTACAATAGAGTTGATAATTGCGAGCTTTTAGGATCCATGCGCGATCTATAAAACTACTCTCCTGTTAATGAGGGTCAACATATGCAAACTTCATGAAAGTCGATGGTTTTCTATATTGCTCTTAGTTCTCCCAAAACAAGGATGTATAATCTTGTAATATCTGAATTCTCTGTAGCGGTTCTTTACTATATAGTACTTTGACAGATGGCGTGTTCATCATACAGGGTGAATGTGACACATATTCCACCCTCATCTATACATATCAAACAATAGGATTAGCGAGGGTTCAGAAACAAAGCACTTCACTGTACTTCAAATACTGTATTTTTTTGTAGTATAGATGAATTCTCGCTTTTCCTCTCTGATATTAACACAGTTCTGTTATGAGTTAAATTCCATAGATGTATTGGAATGCTGATTCTACTTGAGGATGATGACGAAGCTCGTCGTAAAATCGTATATAAAAACCTTCGACTCCATTCGTTAAGTTTTCATTGATAAATTATCTTAAAAGCATATAGGGATTGATGTTATCAATCATAACACATCATTTTCGAACGCATTTTTCGGAAAAACAGTGCCCATAGTATGGGATGCCACGTATTTCTATACTAGGAAAGCTAATTCACATGATATGGACCAATCAACTTACTTGTGACAAAAAGACGGCATTTGGTGAAGTTTATGTTTTTGTGTCTACTATAGCGCGAAGATTTTTAAATTTCTTATCAGGGTGTTACTTATGAAACATCCTGTGCATATCTTTATACCTTCAAATTCGTAGCTATGTATTTCAACCACGAAAAAAAAACAAGACAAATGAAAATTACAATTTCTCCTTTATACGTTCAAGATTGTCTTTTCGCATTTGTAAAATTGGATCATCTGGTGATAACGAACATTCTCCATTTTCTATAGCACGTACAAGAAATGAACGAGCTTTTACATGATTTTCCATGTTTTCATATGTAACACCAATGTTATTGAGAGATGCACCTATATCAGGATGATTCTGAGGTAATGCTTTTTCTCGAATTTCAAGAGCTTTCTCATGATTTGAAAGTGCTTTCGAATGATCAGACATGTTATTATATGCTAAACCAATAATATTATAGAGTTCAGCCAAATCAGGATGATTGGGAGGAAGTATTTTTTGACGAATTTCAAGAGCTTTTTCAAAAGAACTTAGTGCTTTTGAATAATTACCGCTATTGTAAGACAACATACCAATATCCATGAGACACACAGCTAAACCAGGATGATTTGCAGGAAGAATTTTCTCATTAATTATAAGTTCTTTTTCAAAATATGAAATTGCTGCTGAATAATCATTCGAATTGACACATAATAAACCAACATTACCGTAGGATTTAGCCAAATCTATATGGTCAGGGGGAAGCAATTGTTCACGAATTTTTAGAGCTTCTTTGTGAGATGAAATTGCTTTTGATGTATTATCTATTTTAGAATAAATCAGACCGATGTTAAAATATAAATTTGCTAAATCAAGTTGATCTGTAGGAGGTGTTTTCTGATAGATAGCTATTGCTTTTTCATAGAATGTTGTTGCTTCGGAATAGTTTTTTTCAATATCTTTAATCTGACCAAGTTGACTATAAATAGCTGCTTTTTTAGTCGTATCTTTTGTTTGGTTTAGTAGAAACTGATAAAATTGTTCAGCCTTGTCAAGATAATTCATTTTCATTAAAAGTGAACCTAGTTGAAACCAACCTTGTTTATCAGGAGTATTCTCTTGTCGAATATAATTTGTTAATAGAGCAAGATCTTTGTCTTTATCGCTAATAAGAGTCAAACTGACTTCTTGAACTCGATTATTTGCAGTTAATCGTTTAATATCATTAATTCGAAAAAGTGTAGGCATTGAAAACAAAATTCCATCTTCCGTATGAGAATAACTAACATCACGAACGGAAGCAAACGGAAAACTTGATTGAGAAGGATCAATTTTCATAATGAACATAACGCCCACTAAATCACCTTTTGTTCCATTATCTTGAGCAAAACTAAGTGAATGCTTAGAATTTTTACTGGTCAATAGAAAATTGTTAAATGAAATTAGTCCACCTCGACTTTTTTTCAATTGTTCAAAATCTACTTTGGTTAAACCTTGAGCATGATATACTGTAAAGATTGCGGAAGACGATGGTTTACTTCTATATTGTTCTTGATGAAGTTGTACGATTTGTCGATGAAGATCGACGATAAAAAAACTTATAGATGTTATCATCTCACCATTCATAGTTCGTAATGCATAGTTGAGCATTGGATTTAAAAAACAATCGTTGGTATACCACCATATAGGTGTTTGAGTACGATATTTGCTTTCGAATTCTTTGACATCAACTAATTCCTCTTTGTTGTTTGCAAACAATTCACGACAATAATCAATGAATTCTTTTAAATGGTTTTCTTCGAAATTACTGGTTAATATGACTTCCTTAAGGATATGAGTATACAACAAAGGCAAATCTAACTGATCCAAATCTATAGTTGACGGTAAAAAGCTAAGTGGTATAGTATTTTGTTCACATTGTTGAATTGTTTTTTTAAGTACTCGGCATATGGGTGCTGTATCTCTGAAAACACCGTTGATCTTGGTCCAGAGTTTAATCAATTGTTCGTCACGTGGTCTATTGTCAGAATAAATAAAAACTGAATCTACTTGAGGCATATCATGTATACGAGATATGAATTCTTGTCCAAGTGATCCGAAAATGACTACGCATACTTTCATATCGTCATTTTGAATAAATTCCAAACATTGATCACTATCTGAAAATGTAATATTATTGTGAACAGCTTGTTGTATGTCTGCAATAGCCTGTTGCCAATCTTTGCTTTTACTATCAGCAGTATTGTACAAACAGATCATACGGATGCTGCGAATATTTTGGATATTGTTGACACGACGTCGTTCGGGATCATGTTCCGAAATGGTAGACGGTTGATCGGTATTTTTTATGCTTCCTGGTTTCCCGGCGCCCATTAGTTTTGTCTTTTTTTATCGTTTTAAATGATTGATAGTTGCTGGTTGTATAAAGCTTCACTTCTGTTCTCTTTTTTATTGTTCGTTTTATGTTGCGATGAAAACAAACAACAAAGTGTTACTCTGCTTGGCAGAAAAGAATTTCTTTTCATTGCTTGTTTTAATAGAAAAAGAAATCCTTGAAGAATTTTCTTTCGTTCTATCGTGAGTCACATTGTTGTGAAGGCATCGAAATTTGTAAGTGTTTTTTGTCATGAAATGCTGAAGGTGTGAGTGGGTTAAATACTGCATTCTCATACACATTGATTCACACTTTCATACTTGTATTTCCAACAATTCATTCTCTTGTCGATGTATGGTAGAGATGGGCGAGCCATGAGTTTTCTAAGTCAAGTCATTTGGAAAAATTTTAAGCTAAAGCGTAGACCGACAGGTGAACCCGAACTAATTTAGCCCTTTCTGTCGATAAAAAAAAAGAATGATGACAGTTTATATAGAGGGTGTTTACTACGATTGTATTTTATTGACTTTCGATAGACTGCACGACGTCCTAACATTCTGCTCGATGAAGATGATACTGACTATATAAGTGGATAACAAATTAGGATACAGAATTCGCTATGCTCTGAACGAATATTATGTGTACATTAGAAGAAAGAAAGTTTAAAAACAATCATTTGTTGCATGAATCGCTTAATGATGTCTCTTGTTCAATCTTCAAAAGGTAGACAGCTATTGCTCTTAGATAGTTACCATTATCGACGAGCAAATCATAATCAGGTGACCTGGAGATGCACTTGGAATAACTGTGTCGGACGTATGACTAGTAACGCAACCGGATATGTCACGCTGACTGAGCATAATCAATGCACATGATATTCCATTATCATCAATGCTCACAACATTCGCAGAAACCGGAAATCCCAGTGGAACTGAAATTGACCAGTACTGGCGATATGTTCGTTCTGCACGACAACCAAATTATTGTCTTATCCTCAGGGAAAGCTATGACTAAATTTTTCTTTTAACTAAACCTGGGTCCAAGAGGAATCAGAATCAAGGAGAACTCTACAGATAAAACACCTTTTAAATGTTTTTCATCCCTGCATCATTTCAAAGGATCGTTAAATTATTTTTTGAAAGAGAAAAGCAAGAAACAACACTACTAATAAAGCTTTACAGACCTAATCGCTTGATATTTCTAAAGAAAATATCCTTCACACTTGTTTTCCTTCGTATAAGCCTCCTAAACAAACGCTTATACGCACGCCTTCACTGTTTCATCTATTTTTTTATTCACTTTCGAAACGAATAAATGAAAGTGTTTTTATTGTTTTTGTAAAAGAGACTCCAAAGACCTGATGCTATTTTCTGAGTCACTATAATCAGTTTGAATAAGTTAGTTTTTCACATGTTCGGAATACTAGTTACCATTACCTTGTACGCCCATTATGGAGCAGATACTTCCGCCATAGCTTATCTGCCTTGCTCTTTCAAAATACACTGGTATGGATTTAATCTCAATTATAAAAGTATTACTTCGAGAAATCACACATGTGGAATCAGTTTTAAGCAGATAAAGATTATGAAAAAAAAGTACCTATCAGTGTCATACCATTAGCATATGATAGATACTCATGAGAAGCTCGATTTTGTTGAGGGTTTCAGGGAGACACTTTTCGATTCTCGACTGAAGATATATACGGGAGACGGTAAATAACTTGTAGCACAGCACTATATTAGCAATCTTTTAGTTAATTCCAGGCCAAAGCAAAATGGGACGCTAGGCTGGTACATAGTACATGTGTGACCTCACACTCTCACCCCAATAGCCAATCGATATCCCTTGTCGTTGAAATACAGTAAAGATTTTCGTGCGCATGTGTATGGAGCGATCTATAATTTTGTTATACTCTGCATATCTGGCTTTTCCTTGGCATTCAAATTCGCTCATGTTTACTATAGCTTATTATTTTCTTGAAATGCCCTACATTTAAAAAAGAAAACAGAACGCTGAAGAATTGTAATGTTTCCAAGGTATTCTTTCTGCTTCTCGACTGTTAGCAACAAAAAAAAAATACGAACAATGTGTTTTTTTGCTTTTCTTTTTACGATCATTTAGAACTTTTTTCTTTTCTGATTATGTCAGACACGCCGAGCTTGCATCAACAACAACAGTTACCATTAGAATTTCCTGTTCAAGTCCATCCTGGTTATTCAGTATTACCACCGATTTCATCATCAAGTTCTGAGTGTGACAAAACATCTTCAGATGTGAAAAACTTTTGGATTAAACTTCGCGAACATATCAACAGCGAAAGATTGAAACCATACGATAAACATGGAAATCAAAGAACGTCAAACAAAGTTGTTCGAATTTTCGTTTCATCAACATTCACAGATTTTTTTAATGAACGTGAAGTTCTGATTAAAAAAGTCTTCACTGCACTGCGCGATGAAATGCGACCAGCCGGTATTCAAATCATTGATTGTGATCTACGATGGGGTGTACATATACGAAAACCATTTCTGATTCTCAGTTCTCATTGTATTTCATACTGTAGGTTCCGAAAGATTCAACAACTGAGCAAACCATCCTAGCGTGTCTTGAAGAACTCGATCGATGTTTAGAAGAAAATGGTCAACCATTTTTTATCGGACTGATAAGCGATAAGTAAGACAAATCTTCGTTGGTTGCTTTGGTGTTTTTTCTATCGCTGATTTAGATATGGTTGGGTCCCGAAATTGAACGATTTACCGAAGTATATAACGGAAACCTATTCGTGGATTGATGGAGCATCGATAACATTGATGGAATTTATTCATGGTGCATTTCGTCGAAACAATCCCAATGCATTTTTTCTCATTCGAAAGTCCGAGGATCTTCTGAAGCATCTTCCTGAAAAGTATAACGATAAATTTCGTGATAAAGATCAATTAAGTCAAAAGCAGATCATAGAATTAAAAGGTCAATTATCGGAAATCATCTCTCCCGAACACATCTTCGCTTATGATTGTTCATACAGTGGCTTAGATTCATCAACCGGACGTGAAAGAGTAAATCGTCCTAAATTTCGATTTGAACTTAATTCGTCTTTAGGTAAAAATCGATGGCTTCGAAGAATTCGAAGAACGCACAAAAACTTTCCTACGCGAAGCCATACAGAAGTGGTATCCGGAAAACTTCAATCAAGACAATTCAATCAATATTGGTTCGATTTCTGTCTTATCCATGTGCAGATAAGCTTGTTTTGATTTATAGAGGAAAAAGAAATGAACATATTTCTTCTGAATAAAACGCAATATTACATTGATCGATCCAATGAACATTCGATGCTTATGAAGTATATAACTGGCGATCACAGTGGTTTCGTGTTAAATCAGGCAGAGAAAGCAAATGGTCAACCTTTGTTAGCTCTCACAAGTCAACCGGGTGATGGAAAAACTATGTTACTTGCAAAGTTTGTCTTAGATATTGAAGTACGTTTTTGGAGAAAGGAATTTGATGAAACTGATTTCATGTTGAAGGAAACAATGAAAGACAAAGCTATTATTTACTACTATTTTGCCGAAGGAGTATATCAAGATGGAACTCATTTCATATTGAATAATTTACAGATGAAACTCTTAAAATATCTGAGTAAATAGCAATTAACTTTCATATGACAACGTTCGTTTCACAATTTAGATGACAATGACATCAAATCTTCAAAAACGAATGAGAAATTCAATTTTGGTGATGACTCATTTCTTGAAGACGCTATTGCTGCTATACCAATACCAATCATCATAATTGTCGACGGATTGGAAAAGGTAATTCACCATGTACAACATATTTGAAAAGAAATCGAAATTCTTGTAGGGTGATCTGCATCATGATCGAGTTTATAAGGACACATTTCCATTCCTTTGGTTTTCCTCATTGCTAAGTAATCACACATATATCATAATCAGCACAGAATTAAATTCGAATTTGCATCAAACTGTGCGTAATCATTCACATTATGAACTTGAACTTCAATTATTAACAACTGAACAACGTAGTTCATATATTGATATGTTTTTCCATAGTTTTAATAAGGTAAGTTGGACAACGAAGGAAGAAAATATGATGTTTTCTGTTGTAATTCAAACAGATCCTTGAACCAGAACAAAAATCTCTACTTGTCGACAACAAGGGCGGTGAACATCCAATTTATTTATCGTATGTTTGTGAAAATCTTCGGCAATTCGGTGATTATTCACTTGTTACCAAACGTCTGAAAAAGTATCCAACGACCTTAGATGATCTACTCAATTTTCTACTAGATGAAGCCTATGAAATTATCGACAATCGCTTAGTTATTGACGCGGTAATTTCCATTGAAACTTGCATTCTACATCAAACAAAAATTAATTTTAGTTCTTCAAATTATTGCTTATATCTGACATTGGTCTAGTCGAATCAGATATGGTCAACATACTCGAACATTATCTGAATAGAAACACAGATGAAAACAATCGAGTAGATGTAAATCCGATGGTATGGGCGACATTACGAAGGCATGTTAAAATATTTCTTGATACGACCTGGATCATAGGAAGTCAATATATCATTTTTCGTGATTCATCAGTTGAAAAGTTATTACGACAACGTTGCCTGAAGGATGATGAAAACGAAATACGCGCTCTTCATGCATTCATGGCCATGTTTTATCGTAAACATTCGTCAATCAAAGATATTGCGACATCTCGTGTATTGTATCATTATGAGCAAGGCCATATGTACCATGAACTTCTTGCATATTTGAATTCAGTGGAAGGATACATTGTTACTCACCATGATCGACAAAACTATTTACGAGTAAGAATCTTCATTTGCTGAAGAAATATTTCATTTGATTTTTTCTATAGCGTCGTCGTTGTACAAACACACTTGGTTCGGTTAATACCAGTGAGAATCAACGTGCTTATGCATGTAATATGTGTGCGAAGCGATTTAAATTACCTCTATTTATGACGCAAAAAAGTCCGTGTATTATTTGTTCAAGACATGTTCCTCTGGCGAATTCGACTGAAACACCTCTCGAGAAACGCGAAGCGCGTCTATGTCAAAAGCATGGTACGGATGATTATCCACAAAGTTTTCAATGTGTATTTTGCAAAAAACTTCAGCCAATGCCTACAGGAGAATCAGCAGGACCAGGAAAGAATCCTTTGCCGTTATTCATTTGCTGTGAATGTTGGACGGCAGGTGGAGGAACAGAGTCACGTTGTTCTGCATTTGTTTTGGACTCATAGAAAAGTTCTTTTCCCTGAAATTTGATCTGAAGTTAATCGAGAATGAGGAGCTCGAATCTATGACTAAACTTGTTTAAAATAAATGGTATTATTGATACTTCTGAAGCATCAAGTCCATACATTCGAGGGCTACTTGTACGTATATTCAAAACATTCTATCAAAAGAGTTTCGATATTGCAATGTAGCAAGTCCATAATTACTTTTATTTGATCAAATTTTTAACATATGCAAGAGAGAATGTATATTAAAAATGACACAAACGATAGTTCATGTTGAAAAATCTCATCAGAGTCAATGGAAAGGAGTTTGTGCATGGAAATATTTTCTCGATCTATGACGGCACCTTCACCTCTAAGAATTACTTTTCGGATACGTTAAACGTCATTTATTTCAATTCATACCATCACAACACGAACAACACTAACGATAGGACAATATAAAGTTGACGAAGTATTGATTAGTCTATTTTGTATTACTAGCCATTGTACCTTTTGTTGTTGATAATGCCACATTTGTTTTTTTGCTTTTTTGTTTAAAACAAAATAAAATCTTTTCTCTGAACTTTTTTCTAAGTTCAGGTAATGATAAACAACAAACCATTGGGAAAAGAAAAATAACATAATAATAAAGAAATCCCGTATAAGTCAAAGCAATGGCAGTTAAAGCTGGTGATAAACCAAATTGAAATGCAAAGATAACTAAAACCCAAGGTCCGTTACATGTTATATAAAGTACGGATATTGATAATAATTGTACAATCATTTTTCGATATTTTTTCCATTGAATTTCATGAGTTAACTTTTGCCGTTGAATGATTGTACGAATAATTAATCCAATACTACAACCGACAATAACTAATGTTGGAAATACTTGATGAAAATCTATATCCCATAAGCCCAATACCGTTCGATAAAAAGCGCACGGTATATGAATACCACCATTAAGAAAATCTTGAAAATCACTGACACAAAATGGATCGAAATGAACATAAGCTAAGTAAATTAAATAATATATTATAATGGCTATTGGAGGAAAATAATGAAAGAAAAAACATCGACGTTTTGTTGCAATCCAATTTTGATGAAATATTAATATATGTCTTTCAATAGTTGCCCATGCAAATAATTCCAATGCGATGGAATAAAATGTATAATTAATATATGTCCAAATTTCATAAAAAACTGTTGCCCGAATTAATGGTCGACGATTATGATCATTATAAAGTATCCAAATGATATCGGTTAATTCATAAAATACTCCAAGACATAATAATATAATAATCACATAATTATGTAATGCTTGACGTAATGAAGCATCAGATAGTAAATAATATAAATCAAAAAAGCCAGTAAGTAATGAAAATATGTTCGAAAAGAGATAAGACCAAAATCGAATTGGATATCCGGACGATAAAGTCGATTGAGTTGAATTAGTATATAATGAAAGAGTTGATGTATTCATATTCATATGATTTATGAAAAACAATTTGTAGAATGATAATAACAATCCGTATGAATATAGACTTATATTTTTATTCATGAGATTCCTTTGCAATTTTCATTAAGGAAAAATCATCACTCAAATAATGAAGGTTTTCTCGGACTTGATGATCAAATATTGAAGAAAGTCCTTGATTGCTCAGATAATTTCGCAATTTCTCAGACATACTTAAACACTACTAAGGATCTTTTTTTCTCATGACATTGCAAGAATTAATATTCAAAGGTTTTATAAGATGTCTAGATAGGATGATTAAAAAAAAAGTTCTCGGTACATTCTACTTTTTCTTGAACACCTGGTCTTAGGAACAAAATATCTTAATGATATTGTATTCAATTCTACATGAAATTTCTTATCATTTCTCTAGATTGAAAATGTTGACGATTGAATTCCACGTAGAGACTTTATTTGATAAACAACTTGTGGAAGATTTGAGTGATACTCAAAGAAAGTATTGTCAATTGTAGAAAATAACGAATATATTTACATCGACGACATAGGGAAAGAAAATTGCTGAGGTATTCGTGTAAGATTTACGTTCTGGAATTGTATTCATGGTAGTGAAACCATAGA